ACAGAGTGGCACAAGGCATCAACGCTTCACCGGGGAGGACCATGTTGAATCCAGAATCCGGCGAAATGTCCCAGATATGGATGAAGCTGCCGGACGTGGCGAGGAGGCGTCCGTCTGGCGAGAAGGCAACCGTAGTAGTCGTGTCTATGGCCGCGTCATTCAGCGCAACGAAAGTTTGTTCAGTGGTGGGTGTCGGTTTATCGTCATCATTACCATCGTCACCTATCCTGTGAGCGTCTGAATACAATTGCCTGCACGCCTGTAGGTCCCACAAGCGGATAGTTTTATCACCGGGGTGGACAGTGGCCACGAGCGCGTCTCCCGGCGAAAAAATGGCGTAGTACGCGCAGAGTCCATCTTCACCCATGACGGCAACGCGCTCGCAAGTTTTGGTGTCCCACACGACCGTCTGACCGTTGCCGTAGCACGCCAGCAGCTGTGTATCGTCGCTAGAAAAGCAAAGCCAGATGACTGCAGATTTAGCGCCCTCTGATGACATTGTACGCCATAAAGTGGTGGGAGAGGCATCTGAGGTCTCGCTCTCGCTGGTAGCCATCTTCGGGAGGCTCCAGAGCTGGACTTGACCGTTTCTGTTAGACGTGGCCGCCCGTAAGCCGTCGTGGGAGAAAATAGTCGTTTTGATTTCCGGGCTGCTGATGTGAGGGGCATTGTCGACACAGGCGGCATTATTGCAAGTGTCGGCGTCTGCCTCCATGAATCTGTAAATCTGGCATGAGTTCGTGTCTGTGAAGGTGAGTATAATCTCATCTCGCTCGCTAGAGAGCCCAAACGACAGCAATCTCGATTGCGGATGCGGATACGGGAGACTATGCGATCGGATAAGCGGCCGGTACAATAGCTTCATGGGCTCTCTTTCTCCATGTTCACCACGTTCTACTTGTTCAAGTTGATCTCCTCTTTCGTAGACGAGATGGAGCATTACACGGTCTCTCTCGTCCCAGGTGACAAAGGCGCGGGTGTTGGAATCATATCGCACGCGGGCAAATCTTCTCTGCGCCAAGTGTAGCGTCTGCTGCCGTTCTGCCAGCTTGGTATTGTAGATGAGCAGATTGCCGTCGTTGTGGACGACGGCGGCCAGTTCCACATTATCAGCCACGCTGGCATCCAGGCACTCGGACTCGGGCAGCGCGTCTTTTATGACCATGGGTAGGCTTTTATAGCGTATTGAAGTGCGCCGCACCTCTTTCAGATCAAATCCCGGTAACCCCAGGACGACCTCGCGCGGCTCGTGGTCGCACGCGTCTTGTGGGTAGCAGGTGACAATGAGGTCCTCGGAGCCATCTACGGCAAAGCGTACGTTGGAGAACCGTTCAAGTATGTTATAGACAGCATACTTGTTCTGCTTCTTCTGTTGATTACGCCACTTAACCACAATTTCACCCAAGGTAATTCTCTCCACCTGGACACCGCCAGTGGCGAGATTAAAGGTTGAAATGCCCCACAATCCCCCAGTAACAACCAAGCTGGAATTCGTTGGCGAGGGAACGAGTTGATTGAAATCCAACCGCGATTTGTGTAACGCAACGTGCTGGATAGTGCATGATGCCCGGTCCCAGAACCGCAGCGTATCGTCGTCCGATACGGACACAATGAGTCGGCCGTCATAGGCAAAGTGCGTGGCGCGGACCGACTTGGAATGGCCCTGCAGCGTACCGATACCGATGAACGCTGTTGTCGAGTTGTCCAAGGGCGGCAACATCGGTGGAACTTGAGGTAGGACGGGCAAATTGCTATTGTCGCCATGGTTTTCGCAACCTACTATGTGCATGAATCGATCGCAATCGGTCACGGACATGCCCATCTCCTGCGAACGCAGAATGCGCGTACTCAGGGTATTCAGCGCAGCCTGCGTTGGCGACAGACGCCCGAGCCCACGAGAAGATGGGAGCAGGTCCTGCAGCATGCGACCGACGACAGGAAGAACTCTGAGCGCATCCAGGTCGCGGACCCATGCACTCGCATTCTGCGCAACGAAACCACGCACCTCAGCCGTCAGCAAGTCCGTTACTGACTGATGGCCTGTCCGACCAATGCCAACGCCTGCAAGGTCTAGATGCCGCAGCCATGCGATTTGCATATACGGCGAGAGCTGCTTTCCACGGCGCTTCGTTCTACGGCCAGTAAGACCATAGTGCTGTGTGAGCTGGCGCAGGTGGCGACAAACCATGTCGGCGTGCAGGTCGGGCGCTGGAGTGGCCTTCCCTAGACGTGCGCGCTGGGCGGCCAACACAGCTCGGCTCGGAAAGTATACGTATTTCTTGATTTTCCCTCTTGCATTGTCAACTTCCCGGAACTCGAGCAGCGGCCGCGCGAGGATATCCAAGAAACTAGCAGCGTCCACGGTGGCCGGCAGCCCGGCAAGGGCGGCCAGATCCGGCACAGTGAGAGGCTGGAACGCGAGCGCGGCCGTCTTTAACGCGGCGTTCAGGAGTGCCCGGTCGCTATCACTGTCACTGTCGCTGGCATTACTCTTGATGATACAGTCCAGAAGAGGGCCCAAGCCCGCGCTGCTGTCGGGCAGGCGCTGCATAAAGGGGATGGCGTTCCACGAGAATCGGACTCGGGCGACAAGATCAACGGCTAGTGTGGCCCAGGCAACATTGCCGCCAGCTCGGCCGGTGAGCTTGCTAGCGAGCTCTTTTTGTATTTCCGGGGTATATCTCGAATCATTCCACTTTAGCATCAGGGCTCGGATATAGTCGTGCATGATTTCGCTAAGCAACGGCTCCTCAGGCGGATAGAGGTGGCAGCCACCTATCGACGACGACGGTGGTAAACAAGACATGGACCTAACAATCCAGATCACTTTGCCCGACAGGCGACACGTCGTGAGCACGAGCTCCATCAAGTCGCGGAGCGTCCAGGCCCGTTTTTGTGCGGTGCTGGCCGAGCCATCGCGGCCCTCTTTGCACGACTCATTCCCTTTGGCCTGATCACCAATATGGCCGTCGTCGTCGTCATCCCACAGCATCTCCCTGTAATCAACGACAAAACACGTCGGCTCAAAGTCCTGATCGCGCACGATGCTGCACAGCAGCGTCAGCATGGCATAAAAGTCACCAGACGTGCCCAGCGCGGCGTACCGCGCCTGTGAGTCACTACCGTTACCTCCGAGGAGCGCGCGCCGGCCCACCACCTGCACAGTGTTGGCTAGGTGCTTCTGCAGTATCGGTTGGGTAGTGAGCACCGTCCATATAAGGTCGCGCAAGACTGACACCACAGACGTGCCATTCACGTCCCGAGACCAGTCCCAAGAGGCGCATGCAACGGCGTACGGCGCCCACTCGGGGTCCAATATGCGAGCCTGGTTCTCGGTTTCTGCCTGCGCGAGCGCGTGCAGCAGCAGCGTCATGCTTGAGCCCTCCGGGCCGTGAAGCCAGAGAACGCGGTCATTTGAATGGCCATGATCGGCGCTGCGTGCCTTGTGCCATTGCTGGTACGCATCCTGTTTCAACGCCCAGCGACGAAGGCCCCCGAGCACGCTTTTCAATCCATCCAACGGAAGCTGCGACGGCGGTAGTAAAGGTGGCCGCTCCACAGGAAACAGACATAGCAGTTTTTTCAACTTTCCTGCTAATGAAACTATCATTACTGTTGCGTTCGGCAGTAGCGTTGGCGTTGCTGACATCGCGATAGGCGGGATGACTGAAATCGTTACCAGGATCACGATTATCGCCGCCGCCGCCGCCTTCGGCTGTCATTGTGTCGTTGACTGCCTCGCGAGCATCTCGGTCATCGCTGCCGAGAATAGCCAAGGACGGCGCCCGCAGACACACGAGCTCAGCGACACTCTCTTCCAGCGTCTTGTCTCGGGCATGAAACCCCAGGGAAAACTCGAGTGCGGTAATTGGATGCAGTAACGCGCTATTCACGCCCACTTTTAGCTGAGCAAATGTTTTCTGCTTTTGCTGTCGGCGCATTTCTTGTGGCGCACGGTCGAGCGCGAGGACAACGACTAGTTGCTCGAGTATGGCCGAGTACAGATCGACGAGGAACTCATGGGGCGAATTAGGGCCTTTTTCATCGTCCCGTGGCGCCTTGTAAATGACTTGCGACAGGCGGTCATAAAAGGCAATGCGCGCTACAATGTATGCGAGCCAGGGGGCCTCGCATGTGGGTTTTGGGCCCTTGACCAGTTTCTGTGGCTGTGTGGTCAGAAAGAATGAAATGGAAATGGAAAAGCAGTTTCAATACGCAACGTACCTGAATACATAGACACGCCGCGATCCACGCCAGGTGCGCATTCGGGCTTTCCTGTATGTTTCTGCTCAACTTAGTCAAGGTCGATTTCAAAGCACGGCACACTTTGTCTCTCTCTTCGTCGTCGTCTTCCTCTGCTCTTGGCTCCGAAATCCAGCGGCGAACGGAATCCAGCACCATATTCGGCGCCAGATTGTGCAAGCCTGTCATGGCGAAACGCACATGGACATTGGCACCGCTGCTCCCCTGCAAAAGCCGAAAGATGCTGCGGACCTGTTTCTCAAAGTCGACCAGTTCCTCTTTGTGCCTCTCTCGCAGGCGCGCGTAGGCTGCATACCACAGAGCACGCGTGTCCTGGCTGTTGGATTCATCGGACGGCGGCTTGGTCATAATCTTGATAGTAATCTCATCGTCGTTGTTGGCCATGGTCACGCCAGGGGCAAGATGAGTCGAAATATCGTGCTGTGCCATCTTGTTGTTGTCGTTGTTGCTATTCTGCTATGGCTGCTGTGGTGCCTCTGCCTACTGGGTGATTTCGGTATGTTTTGTATGATCAGGTAGTTGGTACCGACAGGGAAAACCAAAGGACTTGCAGTTAAATAAGACGACGGCAATGGAAGAGGAAGCCTCAGGATGCCCGCAGGCATCCGAACCGGCGCAACGCCGGCCTGACACGATTGAGGGCACGGCCAGTAGCACTCGCGTGTGGAGTGAGAGCTACTCCGACGTCAACCTCTCACGGTACGTGTACGTTAGGGAGCACAGGCGAGAGCAGAGACTGCAACGGCGTCAAGCGAGACATGTTGCACGATTCCCTGGCGGGCGAGGGCGTCACGCCAGAGCTGCTGCTTTATGTGCCCGTGAGGCGGCAGGACGACTGTGCGTGCGCCGTCAAAATCACCGCCAAGGTGGGACACGGCCATGATATTCCGGCAAAAGGAACACAAATGCATCTTGCGCGTCACGCTCAAGGAAGCGGATACCGAGAAGCCGGCCTTTCGATGCTTGCAGAGGAAGAAAACATGGCAGAAGCTGGACATGAACCGCTGAGACGCTGCTGTTGCAAACGATCGACTTGAGTCTGGCGCTGCCATGAGATTTGAGAAGAATTGGCGGGCACTACAGCGGCTAAAAGCGGGGGGTGACAACGGCCACTAACCCAGAAGGCCCCCATAACTACCTAACAAAAGCGACACTGAACAGGGCAACGACGGCGACCAAGGCCGAGGCAACAAAAACAGAAATGAAGGGGTTGCAGAGACGGAACCGGATTCGACTCTAACGAGATGGTCTTTGGCCAAAGAGTGTCTGGATCGTGCAACTGACGGCAACATGGTCAGACTGGCAAAGAGACGCGACGCGACAGCAACGCAATTGGACGACTTATTAGCTGCCGTAATATTAGAAGCCCTGCTCGGCCCCCTCCTGGCCAGAGGTGCTGACAACATGAAGGATGATCTGCGCACACCACTATTGGAGAGCCGCATGGAGCCAATGGAAGATCGGATGGCGCGACATGTGTTGGTAATTCAAGGGCTGCGGAGACATAAATACAACGGCCCAACCCTTTGGGGACTCGGTCCCTCTATTTCGGAACAAAGATTCAGTGGATACAGCGCTTGCGTAGGTAGTCCCACAAAGCGTTGTACTTCTACCTAGAGTACCCCTCATTTACATTCGCGAGACAAGTTGCTGCTATTTTTCACCCTGCTAGGTATTTACAGGTAAAGTAAAACAGATAGGAGGACTTTTGCCAATTATACCTAAATTAGGAAGAAATAAACCTACAGACGAAATGCTCGTCTTGTAATCACGCTGTCAACTATCGCGGAGCAATAGACAAGTAACTTGCGCAAGGCTTGCACCGCTGGGATGACTCGGCCTGTATATGTTATGTACTCTGCAATCAGGCTGCTTACTGTAATTTAATGTTGGCTCTGAGGGAGGGGTAGATGAGAGCCCTGTGTGCCAACTTAGAAATCCAAAAAAAAGCTCCAAAATACAACGCAATATCCAAGGACAAAAAAGCCCGCCCGGTCGGACAACGGGAAACACATCAAGATGTCGACACATCAGCAATCAGAAGCCTACGCCATGACGGCCAATCTCAAGATAGCCATTGATAAATGGATCAACAAATCATCCTACAATGACAACATCGGGTTCGAAAAGGAGCTTGCAATCCTCTACAGGAGCCTCGTTGGAGCGGCGCAGGTTACGAATGACACGCACATTGAGGAATTCTTGAACAGTGATGAAGCGTTCATGGACAGGTGCGTCCAATGGCATCTTCTGAAGCTGGCGATCCAAGGCGCACAGGATTCGATCAGGACGGAGACAAGCTTATTACCGTTGTGCAACCCACACGTGCAGCTAGCCAAGATGATCATGGCGAGCAAAGAGGCAGGATGGGAACTGCTACTTTTACTCCCAACAGGGAAAAAGTTGAGGAAGTCCTGCAAGTGGAATCAGGGCAACGAAAATTGGGAGATAAAAAACAGAAAGGCAAGGCTACAACAGAACCCGCACTTGCGCATCAAGCAAACCGACCGGCAGGAAAAGACCTTGTTTGCAATGGCCCTGTGTGAGGGCAACCCGTACATGGAAACACTGCTAGCTGAGGCGCAGGAGCTGTACTCGCGCCAGCTAAGAACAGAGGCGGAAAAGTCGGAGCCCAAAAAACAATCGGAAAACTACTTCGTCACACGAGTGCGAAACAATAAAACAGGCCCAACCATATTACACAATGACATTGTCACGGCCCATAAAACGGCCCCTTTGGCCTTGGGGCCCGTGCTGCACAGACTGCCCGGGATTCTACTGCCGGGCGATGACCAGGAGTCGGACGAAAGATTGCTTGACCGCATCATCGAGGATCACTTACTGGAGCTGACCGAGGTCATTCTCCAATCTGAACGCCACCGTGGGCTGCTGACAACCCGCGAGCGCATCGTCAAGGCCATTGAGCTTTGGTTAAGATGCCCAGATTCGCAGAGCGCATTGCTGTCAGGAGACCATAGCGACCAAGACAAAAACCAAACAAACGACAACGATGACAACGACGATGATGACGATGACGACTACGACGACTACGAACACGACAGTGGCGGCCGCAGCAACGATGACGACAAGACAAACCGCCGAGATTTGGTCATCAGTCTCCTATCTAACGCGTCCGAGGATGTGCTCCGTTCGCCAGAGGTGCTCACCGTCGTCATGAAGAATAACTTACTCAACGACCACGATGTGCTCAAATCCTAAGCCAGAAATGCCAAAGATGATAGCAAAACATGTCCAGTGCCCTTTGCGTCCTTGAAACCCTTTGCCTGGTTTCTTCGAAACGTTTACGGCATACTGCACATGGCCGTCTTCTACCAGCAGCAGCCGTTGGTCGAAGCGCTGCTGCGTTGCAATGCCGGGCTCGCCACCACCCGCGCCTATGTAGAGGCCACCACCGCCGGCGACACGATTCCGCTAAGAATACGAAAGGAAGCGTCCGTCGAGACGACCGCGGCCGCTGTCGACGCCGCCACCGCTGTCGACGCCGCCACCGCTGTCGACCCCGTGCTGCATAGCCAACAGGGAGACGACGGGTACTATCCGCTTTGGTACAATAATGAGGCCAAAACCACCAAAATGGCCACCACTTCCGCCGAATCCCAGCATGTCCAAGACGAGGACAGTCTCGTGGTCACAAAGCAGCGAAACTCGGCGTGGGAGCAGATCCGGTCGGCGCTTATTTACTGCACCATGAAGCACGCCGAAAATATGCAGACGCTTCTCGCCGTTCTACGAGAATCACGAGGTAGGTTGTCGCAGATGTCGGGTTTTTTTTGGTTTTTTGGTGCTGCAATTGCTGATAAAATAATAAAAAACACAACAGAGCCCGGTAAGACGGCTTATTCCATTTTCCATCTCTCGTAAAGACTTTCGTTTAACCCCCCTGAACACAGAAAATGAAATCAACTTTGACATGTCCCGTCTTCTGATTGAGGGCACGAGCGTGGCCGATTTCGTCACGTCATTGACGCAGGACGAGAAAAGCTACAACCTGATTCGCTACGAGGAGACGATCCGATACGCCCAATTTCCAGTGCTTGACCTGGGCACGCAGTCGCAGACCGTCGCAGCACAGAGACTGCGGCGTTCGTATCTGCAGCGCGCGCACAGGGAGATTCTGGACATGCTTGACTGGCTCGCCAAGCACGGCGTGCGCCGCATCATCACGCTGCGTGTGCCAGACCGCATGGCGCACCCGCATGATGAGCTCGAGATTTCCCAGGCAGTCAGGCGCTTTCGTGTCGAAGAGCTTGACTGGCGCATCCTCGACCTCTCGCTTAACATCTTCCAGCCGCACGGCGAGCCTGAGAGCATTCCGTTTGTTTGCACTATTGATAGCGACAAGACCAAGGATAACAAGACCTGCAAGAACGGCGGAAAGACCGGCAAAATGAACAAGATTGCCAAGGCCATGGAAGACAGGAATGAAATGAGGGACAAGACGTCCGGGGAAACGAGCGTGCAAAAGACGTACCTCAGGCGGTTACACCTCTACACAGGTGGGCGGCGGTCGGCGCTGGATCACTGATTTAGCATCGAGGGCCTTGAATCGACAAAATTAGCCCATGTCTCGATTCATGTCATCAAGGTTCGTTTAGCGGCACAACCAAAATAGAATCAGACTTCAATCACTTACCACACACAGGAACTCGCGACCAAAGAACAAAGTAACGCCACCCTGCGATACATAAATAGGAAAGTCGAAGAGTTGAGAAAACGAAAACCATCGATGAAAATCGATGTGCAGTCGCAATTCTGGACAATAGAGACCGAGGCGCCACGCCTGCAGAAAATGTGAGCTTGATCTATTTCTTTGTTGTCGTTGTTACCCTTGTTTCCCTCACATCTTACACCACTGACTCCCACCAGCATTCATCAGCTATCGCCGCGACTCGCCCAGTTCATCGCAAACTACCGTCAGAGAGCATCTAGCATACATGATGGCCGGAAGCGCTTCCGGCCGGCGAAAGTAGCGATAATCGACAACGGCATCCTCAGCATGGATCCGCCAAGCGCGACGCGGGTAGCCAGCCCGACTCGCCCCGAAGCGCCCGCCGACGTACACGACCGCAGCGGCAAAAGCAACAGCAGCAGCAAGCAGCATCTGCAGAGCCAAGAAACTCTCATGGCCGACAATTTGTGGGCACGGATCTGCGCCGGCAAGTCATTTGTGTACGAGCGCGACAGCTTGAGCCCGTGGTATTTGGCGTCGAATCCGCACGGCACGCAAATGGCGAACCTAGTGTGCGCCATCGACCCGCTGTGTCAGCTGTTTATAGCCAAGATTGCCGACAGCCACTACGGCTACTAAGCGGCCCGCGCCGCGAAAGCGGTAAACTGGGCGATGGAGAAGGGAGTGGACATTATCTCGATGAGCTTCACAACGACTGAGGACCATAAGCCGTTCAACGAAGCCGTGCAGAAGGCCATGGGGGCCGGCATCCTCGTCGTCTGCAGTCACCGCGACGAGGGCGCGCGTATCGGCACAAAGGTCTTCCCCGCCTGCCTCGGCAGCGTAGGCGAGCACCATACAATGCTGCGCATGGCTAGCTGCAACATGTATGGCAAGTTGCAGCACGACTGGGATGATTACACTGTCGACGCCGCCAGCAAAAAGGACAATCAGTACGACTTTTGCATCAACAGCCAGGATGTCCGCGTTGGCACTATCCCCTTCCTCGCCACGTCCACCGAGCGCGTCAGCGGCAGCTCCGTCTCTACCGCCATCGCCGCCGGCGTCTGCAGCCTGCTCATCGCCTGCCTGCGCACCCTGGACGAAATGACCTCTGTGGCGAAAGCTGATCCGACCACCAAGGAAGGCCGTGCCATCTTGCACATGCACGAGAACGTCCGCCGCGCTCTCGCCACCGACGACCGGCCCTCGTATGCGGCCATCAAGAACTATTTGAGCACCATGGCTCCGTCCACGACCAGTCCACGGTTCATTACCCTTGACCGCTTCGCCCGCCTCGACGAGCTCCGCGATGACACGTCTTCTGGCTTTTTCCAAAAGTTGCTCGACTTGGCCGCCAATTTCAAGGTATAGTGAGAAGTTGGCTCTTGATAGTAAAAGTATAGGCCCTTTAAGTTAGTGGGTTATTGCAGAGCATCTCTAGAATTATTATAGCCGTATTGCGAAGTGTTGTAGTGGATTATGGCGAACGGCAGGGGTTCTAGGGTAAGGCATGCTAGCGGTCGGCGGCGATACTACGATATATTCTGCCATTTCCTCGAAGATACCTTGGAGAATTAGTAAATGATGATATACTAAAGACCACTTACGCCCCCCCTAGGAAATTGAAATACAGCCTGTTTGAAATTCACCTTCTGCTAAGTTGGCCTATCAGTTCTGAGGAGCTCCTCGTGCTCCCTGTGTACATATACGCATGACCTAGCATACGACCACTTTCGTTAGTCTGGTTTTATGATGAATGAATGATTTAAAACATCTGAACGCTACCCAAAGAAAAAAAGAAAAAATTTAGGCTGGAATGAAGCCAAGGTAATTGGTCGTCTCCCTACCATAGCGACTGACTCAGGGTCACAACGGTGTTGTTTCCCGAGCTCCACTAGGATGTTGAAGCGCTTACGGGCCCTGACGATGGAGATGAAGCACAAGTAACGTAGCTACATGGCTGTAGCTGCAGCCACTTGTTCTTGTCGTCCAACTTAAAAGCTCAATGGATTCCAGTAGGATGTCGTTATACTCGGTCCGAAAAGTCCTTGGCTTGTGGACGTGGCTCGGATTAGCCAAGGCGCACCAAGGCTATCTCCGTAGCAAGTTTGGCCGAAATACAATTCGATTCCTTGGGTACTTGAATACCAGATGAGCAAGCCGTGAGTGCCTGTCGCTTGCCGAGGAAAGCACGTTTAGCTACCGTGATGTGCAGTGCAAGATCAGACCAAGACGAGGATTGACCCGCAAAACAATGGACGAAAACCGGAGTTAATCTGTACAATTAATAAAATTGAGTTTACTCTTGCCCCCCACTGCTACGCAACCGCCATTGTAGTCGTGTATGCAGCACTCTGATTAAACAAGCGTGATTGCACTGTCCAGCAGAGTGCATCACAGTTCGACGCGTCGCCATCACTCATCATTTGCGGCTCTACTTATATTTTAATACCTCGACGAGAATTTTTGATATCTACTAATTAAAGGACGTCAGTGCAATCGGTATTATTCAAGAGCACTGAATCCCCGCCTACCACACTGATCGATTAGTTCTCTCTCAGCGCGCCCTGATATTATCATTCGCCGCGAACTAAACCGACGTTTCCTCGGCTCTAATAAGAATGCGACGGTCCGTGTACGGATATATTGCCTCATTTTACGGCATAAACGTTGAAATTGAAAGTGCCGAGGTGGGAACCAGGGGACAAAGCTCATCCTTGCTTACAAAAAAACACCAGTTGAAGCCAAGAAGGGAAGAGCCAACAGTCAAAGACTTCGCATACATTATTACACACTGCAACGAGCCACGTGCGTAATTATCCGCAAGGGCAGCCCAACATCCACTATACCATTAACGTGATACATTACACATGCGGGTTGGCCCAATACCCCGGTCCCGCCCACAAACCCTACAACAGTTATCGCGTTGCCAATGTAACTTCAATAGCCACTTCCCTAATTCGGGACGCCCCCATGCCGGTATTGGCTACGCGGTGGTGCCTCGCCACATTCTTTTCTTGGTAAAAGATTGCACGCTAGAAACCGATTGTTCCCCTACGTATTAGCTTCCCTGCTGTGGATGTAGCGCGGGAGTGTTTTTGCCAAGTGGTTGCCCCCAAGTCATGCGCTGTGGAGTTCTGGCCCAGTGCGTTCATCCCTCGCCCAGCCAAGCATTTGAGAAAAAAAAAGAAAGAGAAGGCCATGGACAAATCAACGGTGTAGTTACATCTTTGCCCCCCCAGGTACAACCCTGTTAGTTGTTGGTCATTCATAGATAGACGCGTGGCTGCAGAAAAGGAGGGGCAGCCAAGCGGGATGTAACCATCTCTTTCCAAACCAACCACTTCCAACCGGCCGGTCTAGTCAATTTTCTCGCTCGTGTGCGAAAACAACGCCATGCCAGATGAGGAAGGAGTCTGCAGAGTTGGCCGACTGTCAGCGTGTCCAATAGTGCGATATTACTGTACATCGTGAAAGTCTTGGAGATTGTAATATATACTATATTGGCAGGTCTGCCGCTATAACATGTAAGCCCGAACTATATGATATAACGATATTTTATAATAATATGGGTTATAGTTATCGTAAATACCATCAGCAACACTGCCGACTGCCGGCCGAGTTCAAAAATAGTGCGGCAAGGGGGCCGTCTGCCCATTGGAAAATATATACATGAGACGAAACCCCCAAGCACTCAACATGTGCCGAATCATCGACTCATACAGTCTTGCCTCATTCGAGACTTGATTTGGCCTCGTTCTTCTCCATCTTACACAATGCTTTTCAAAAATCTTGGCTTCTGGCTTCTGGCGCCGAGCGCAGCTGCATTGGCTATTGACGCCTCCAACAACGGACGCCACGTTCGACGAGACCGCAGCTCCGGCAACTGGTGCGGTCAGGTTCTCCACGGCAACGATTTTCGAGATGTCTCTTCCGCCTGGGTGATGCCGACATCTTGGCCTCTTCCCGCTCACTACTACTCGCAGCAGCCAATCTACAACTACCAGTGGGTTGGCATTGACGGAGCCAGCGATCAATGCCAGGCTATCCTTCAAGCTGGAACGTATGCCAGGGTAAGTCGTCGTGAGCATTCTCGAAACCATGCAACTCATTGGGAAGAGAGGTCTGAGCACAAAAGTAAACTTGCGTTTCTGACTGAGATGATAAAGATGGAAGACAATGTCCTGACTTATGGGTTCTGGTACGAGTTCTACCCCAAGGAATCTTGGCTTATGACTGAGCCAGTCGGTAAGCACGACGACTCAACTTTACACTGGCAGATTCAGACTAACCATAGTCTTACAAGTCAACCCTGGAGACAGCGTTTACGTCCAAGTCAAGGCGTATAACAGCACTTCGGGCTACGCGTTAGTACACCTTTATCCATTGAAAACCACAAGTCTAACAGTGCTCAACTTCCACAGGTACATGAAGAATCTCTCCACAGGAGAGGACGTTATGATTCCCATGGATGCTCCTGAAGGCTACTCCTTGTGCGGCTCGACGGCCGAGTGGATTCAGGAAAATGCTAGTCCAAGCGCCGCGTCGGGTCTGGCACCTTTCAACACCTTTTATTTCGAGTATTGCAGCGCGTCGGATGCTTACGGTTACAACTACAACCTTGAAGGGTCCGAGAAATGGTACATGCACCCACTCAACAGCGACCCAATCTGCTATCCATCCAACGTCTTTGGGGGCACTGTTCAGATCAACTATAGTGGACCGACAGCATAAATGAGGCGATTACAACGCCAGACGAAAGCCTAGTTGGAACCAACTCAGTCAGCGTCTTGCCGTGTAATGGAATTGTTCTTTTCTTATACGGACGCTTGCGTTTCAACTGTCGAATCGAGGATTTCATTAGAATAGAAGTGCACTTTGAATACATTTTCTGGAGTTGTCTTTCGTCGTGCCTCTTGTTCGGTTCCCCCGTGAAGTACATCACCATCTTCTCCATTAGCATTAGCCATGGCACTATTCTGAGCGCCCACAACCTTATGTAGCAGAATATGTATTGGCGAGATCCCAAATATTCGCTCCTCAGAGCAGCCCTAGTCACCGGTTACGTAGGTGTAATCTACATAGGGCGACTAGCCAAGGCCCGTCGACCCATAGTCATTTTAAATTCATCTTTTGAATTGAGCTTAGGTTCTACAAGCTAGCTATAGAGCTTTTGCGATTGCTCACGGTAGAAACGTGAATGGCCCATTCCAGCAATCGTCCCATGAACCTGAGCCCAACATCCAGAAACAATGCAATCGGGCCAACAGCCGGGGAGGTATGCAGCCGAATTCATGCTGCATGTCAGCTAGCAGCCGACCGACCAGTGCTCTCTCGGAATACGTGCCTGTGCTGGCGGCGTATCCAGCAACGGCAATTGGCCACAGAATACGAGTATTCAACTGCCGATCGAACTCGACTGCCTCGCCGAGCAGGCGAAGCAACGTGAGGCGTTGCGCAGCAGCCTGGCCAGAGCTCCATGTAGCAAAGTCCTCATCGACCACTGAAGCTGGAACACAAGAGCAGCAATATATGCCAACTGCAGCCTTGAAGATGCGCGACAGCAGCAACGCAACACGCCCCTTTGGTATACTGTAAGACTCTTTCCAATTCTCCGGAGAAAAAATTTGGACCTGCCCATAGATCTTCTGGGCATGTTGCAGCAGAACAACGGCGCTAGAGCCTGTGGCAGCCATGGTTCTTAATCTCGAAATCTCGAGTATCTGGGCCCAAAGATAACTCGGACAAGGAAAATTGTTCTCCAAAGTGAAGCAGTACATGTCCATCAGCTCTACGTCGCTAAACGCACGAATTTCGTCAAGCTTGGCTTCGTAACTGCTCACCGTATTCGAGAGCACGCCACAACTGGTTCAGGTTAATTCAATCAGTCTTTCGGGTCAGGATGTCATGGTTCAACAAACAGAGTCATGCAGTGGATCGCGTTTCCAAGGCCTGTCTGCTTCTTTGCAAGGTCGATGGGTATACCACATAGCCTCAAAATAGCCAAAAATCCGCGAAGATGAGCTCGTCCGCCAGCTAGGTTGAGATATTCCTAAGCAAGAACTAAAGTTAGCAGGCTAGTGGCTCATGAGGCTGGTTGCTTGGATGCGCTGGGGTGAACTACCTCGATGCCTGTCATGTCGCAAATCCTTTGCAGAACTTTGTTTTGTACCACATTTTCTACATCAGTTATCTGCCGGCTTAATGTTCTGACCGAAGTGTTCAATAGATCTCCAAGGCGGACCCAGAGGTGGACCGAGGATGGCGTGGGTTTCGGTGTGGTGTTTTCAACCCCAGCAATGTGTGATAGTCGCATGCAAAGAGAATTGGCAACAATGATGTCATTGGACGGGCTATACGGCTCCGTTCGACACAAAGCCCTGTGCGTGCTGTCGGCGAGATCGGTGTCCATCAGATCTCTATGCACCACAGTGTTACCTTGGCGTTACCTGGATCAGCATGCGTTTTCCGTCGCCGCCGAAGAAGAAGTCAAAAGTGGTAGATGCGAGAGACAAGGTAGAGATTGTAGCAGCATGTGTTTGCGGTGGTAGCTGAAGCCATTAGTAGGGCGACTTACAGAAATGCACTGCTTCAAAGGCCGCCCATCCTTCAGGAATGAGCCATACGGGTACGGGGCCAGCCGAAAAGGATTCCGTGTACCAAGGGCCAGCACTGGCATAAGTGGCCAGTTCCATTGCCTGACGCTTTTGCTGGTATTTTTCTGTGCCTTTGCTCTCATTAAAGAACCGCTCGTCCAGATCACCAACTTGCTGGTGAGGGAACGTATCGAACCACATCCCCTCATTATGAATTCTGGTCGGGAATAAATCAGCATTGTCGGTGAATGAGCCTATATCTGCAGGGTGCAACTCGTAATGGCATGCCATATTGCGCTTTGTGCAGCTCGCGCATTTGGGTCTCTGCTCATTACATCTTACGCGGCGAATTCTAAAGCGGACGGTTAGTACGGGCGCTGCGGGCGACGGACTGAGATTGTCTGCGTCGACAATCTGGGGTTATGCAAGCATGGCAAAAACAGTATGTAGGCACATTCAGAACTTACCGGCAGCCCAGGCAGCCTGTCTTTGCTTTCGTCGCCCACTGCCTCTTTCGTCGCTGAGCCGAGGGAGGCGCCAGGGACCCCGAAGGAACTTGGGGGTCATTGGTATCACGTTCGGCTGGTGACATGGTCGGATCTTGCCGGATTTGTACGTTGCCGGCTGGAGCTAGTCAAACGCTCCAAAGTCAAAAATTGATTCGCAGCCTTGTGCTTGGTCGGGCTTGTTGTACGAGGGCCAAATGAGGAGAAGGTCAGATGGAGTGGGGATTTGGAGCAGCAAACACACGCTGCCTGTTCACCACCCAGCAGAAAAGGCGCCAACGGGCAAAGACTTGCCACTGGGAATGCCATGAATTCAAGCAATTTTCCCAACACCAAAATGAGCAAATCAAAGCGGGCGCGTTGGTTCTATATTTCGCCCATTTACAGGTTACGCTCTCTATCTATCTTGCACAAACCGTAGTCAAACTTACTCCGTCTTATTCCCCCCCTCCCCCACCAACTCCCGAGAATATCGGTCTAGGAGATCAAAAGTATAATTTTACTGGAGAACTACTTTCTCACCAATTACATACGGATATGCCAGGCACGCCGTTGTTTCATGTCCTAGCCAACCATGGCTCTGCAGTGGCAACGCCTCATAGATCGTGCCGGTAAAAGCGCATATTAATAGCTGTAAATGTGGCTAGTGGCATGCGCATGCAGCAGGTGCAAAAAAGGAAACATCTTAAAGACCTAAATCTAGTATGGTAGTACAATACCTTCAACATTGAATTCGACCAGTTTAGAGCTAGTAGATGAGTAGTCTAAATACTTACCTTTTGATCTTCCCACGTGGTGTGTCCATCGTGATTTGGACCCGCTGGCCAGAATCTCCAGCAGTGCAACTCGCCACAACATCTTTCGCCCTTCTCCAGCGACAACCATGGCATCCCCGCCAAAAGCGCATGTTGCTATTATTGGTGCCGGATTGTCCGGTCTACGCTGCGCCGATGTTCTCCTACAAAACGGCTTTCAGGTGACCATCTTCGAGGGCCGAGACCGCCTCGGTGGACGGGTGCACCAAACGAAGCTCAGCAATGACCACTTGGTTGACATGGGCCCCAACTGGATACACGGCGCCACAGGCAACATCATCCGGGACCTAGCTGTGGAAACGGGTACCGGCATTGACGATCTCGACGAGAAGTCGTGCGCGTTTGACGAGACGGGCATCAGACTCGAAGCCGCCGAGAGCACCAAGTACGAGACCATCATGTGGGAAACCATCAAAGAGGCCTTTGCGTACTCGGCAACGTCGGAGGCAGAGATTGATCCGCAAAAAAGCCTGATGGACTTTTTTCAAGAAAAGATCCCGGCAAGGATACCTGATGATGAGCCGAATGCAGAGGCCCAGCGCAAGACGATATACCAAATCTGCGAGACGTGGGGTGCCTTCATCGGCTCGCCAATCACGAAGCAAAGTCTCAAATTCTTCTGGCTAGAAGAGTGCATCGATAACGGTATGGTAAATCAAAACAGCCATGCAATGAAAATAGCTGATTTTCAACAGAAAACCTATTCTGTGCTGGTACATACCGCAAGGTTCTTGAGCGCGTTGCAAAGCCGGCGGTAGACAAGGCAGACATCTCCTTCAACACAATCATGGAAAGCATCACTTATAAAATGAACGCCAAAGACAAAATTAGAGTTCACCTGAGGAGCGGCAACAGCTGTGAGTTTGACGAGGTTGTAGTGACCACGCCGCTTGGCTGGCTGAAAAAGAACAAGACCAAGGCTTTTGATCCTCCGCTTCCTCGTTCGCTCAGCACCGCTATAGATGCCATCAGCTATGGCTGTCTCGAAAAGGTGGCGAAATAACCTGCTTTTGGTACTTTCCGCGCTAAAGTTTTTTTCTTTTTTTTCCCAGGTGTATATCAGTTTCCCCGAAGCCTTCTGGAGGCCCAAGAATGGCCAGCAAGAAATCGTCAAGGGGTTTATCCAATGGATGTCACCCGCCTACCATCCCGAGCTCAACGCCAACCGCTGGTCGCAAGAAGCAGTCGAGCTGTCCAGCCTCAGCGCCGACGATGCGCACCCGACGCTGCTCTTCTACACATACGGCGAGCAGTCGCAGTGGTTCACCTCGGAGCTCGCCAAGCGGCTCGACAAGAAGGACAAGACAGCTTTCATCATCTCGTACTTTGAGCCGTACTACTCACGCCTGCCCAACTACACGGCCGACGCGGCGGCGTGCCAGCCGGTGGATTGCATCGCAACAGACTGGCTTAATGATGAACTGGCAGGGAATGGGAGTTATGGAAATTTTCAGGTCGGTTTAGAAAAGGGCGATGAGCATATTCGGACAATGCGCGAGGGCCTCCCGGACCAGGGCCTGTGGTTCGCAGGTGAGCATACAGCGCCATACGTTGCTCTGGGCACCACCACAGGCGCATACTTGAGTGGTGAAGCGGTTGCAGAAAGAATTGTGAAAAGTTACGCGCAATTTCAGCAGCATGATGATAGCTAGTACTGAGGTGAACAATCATGTTTAAAGTCTAATTGCTCGATGGACTTTGCCATGAGAAGCCCATCTCTTCTGTTGCGGCATTCAGCTTCGGGCATCCACATCGGGTATTGCGATTCCGCTTGGCCCGACCCGACGGTCCAGCCCAGGTCCCGATTGCAACTAATACATTGGATTCTGTGGTTAGCAAGAACCCGAATATCCTGTTTAGTCTCTCAGTCATTCAGCGAACCCTTATTATACCATCATGTGTGGTTCGGGTTTGCCAATGCTGGTCCGACTTGTCCGCTGCAAGCGTCACAACAGCTGCTCAAAGTATAAAAGAAGCCGCGCCAGCGTTACCCGTCGACCCAACACATCCGACCATCTACTACACAAGCCGCATGACAGAATCAGTCTCGCAGAAATAAATCTACTATGCCTGAAACAATGCGCGCAGTCCAGGTCCTCGGGGAAAAGTCATCGCCTCAGCTGAGCCTCTCGAGCACCTTTCCCATACCCTCTGCTACTGGCGACGAGGTGCTCATCCGTGTTACCGCTGCTGCCATTACCGCCGACGAAGTCTCGTGGCCAGAGGTATACGAATCCAACCGCATCCCCGGGCACGACATTGCCGGCACCATAGTGTCTCTGGGCGACGATTACAAGGGCACTGTCAAACCCGGCGATGAGGTCTTTGCCATGATCAAGGCCGCGGCCAAGGCGGGCGGCCAGGCGGACTACGTGCCAGTGAGTGGCAGCGAAATAGCGCCCAAGCCGCGGTGCCTCTCCATGGCGGAGGCCGCCGCGCTGCCGATTCCGGTCCTGACGGCCTGGGAGGCTCTGCAGGAGCATGCGGCGATTCAAAAGGGCGATAGAATCCTGGTGACGGGCGCCTCGGGCGCGGTCGGCACTATGCTCGTGCAGATTGCGAGCAAGCTGCTGGGCGCCGAGGTGATTGCGCTCGCGTCGCGTAAGAGCCATCCGCAGCTGCAGAGCCGGGGCGCCAGCCACTGCGTCGACTATAATGCGCCAGACTGGGAATCGTCCTTTGGAAGCGTCGATGCAGTCTTTGATACAGTCGGAAGCCAAGTTTACAGGAAAAGCTGGCGCAGCCTGCGACAGGGCGGGACCATGGTCACGGTAGCGGATCCTCCCCCCTCGTGGGCGTTTAATCACGGCAAGCCAGAGGAGCTGAAGGAGAATCCGAACGCAAAATATATTTATTTCGTCGTCACGGCAAATGGAAAGAATCTGGAAAAGATAGCGGCGTTGTTTGACAGTGGAGTGCTCAAGCCGCTCGCCGTGGTAGAGTTCGAAGCTGAAAAGGCGCTGGAGGCATGGGAGTATGCGGCAAAGCGAGGTCGAGACGGAAAGGCAGTTATCCGCTTTTCATAAAAGACATTCGCTCTGATAATGACTCGTTTGGCTCTTAAGAAAATGACTATCCTTCTTTTTTATCTCTGTAATAATATATATCATAGCCCCAATAAAATACGTGTAATTCTTTAAAGGCCTGAGCTGTAGAAGTTGAGAAGGCTACCGTCATCTAGTGCATCTGCTTGGCCTTGATTTTTTTGGTTTTTTTTTTTTTTTTTTTTTTTTTTGCTAAAATCTCTTCGAAATCGTAAACAGGTTTACATGCAAGGTATGAAGGATTGATCCTTCGCGTTGGAATCTTATACTAAAAAGGCAACTACTGAGCTACATGCTGTTGTGAGACGTGTCCACCCCGCACTTCACAGCCGTCCCGAGTCTTCTAGACTACAGACTGTCTTGGCGCCGGTGCTTCCGCACTTCCTAATAAATAGTTACCAAGCACAAGTCAAACGTCATCTCACGACAACCACTTCAATTCATAGGCCGACGCGTCGGCTCTTCTTCCAGGATCTGCCAATATAAGCAGCCGCTCGGAGCATGACGTTTGTCGTCTCAAGCATCTGACAAGCACCTCCTTCAGTATGATCGACGCGCCAGCATTCACTGGTAGAGCACTCCGCGTTGTGCTCGCCGACGCGAAGCCCGACGTCATTACCTCGTTCAAAAAAGCCTTTTCCTCAGACACATACCCAAACATTGTCGCAACGGCATCCACACCGCAAGAGCTCGAAAAGGTGCTCTCATCCACGCGCTGCGACGCCGTCCTTTTAGACATGGACACGTTTGGCGAGGCGGCTGTGCTGGAGGGCATAAAAGCCAGCCCCGCGGCGGCGCCGCCCGTCATCTACCTTTCCCACAACCCAGACTCGGATACGCTCGAGAATATTGTGCTACGAAAGACGGCAGCAGGGGTCGTCAAGAAAGATGACAAGACTGAAGACCTCGTCTTCGCGATCGAGGCGGTTTTGGAAGGCCCCGTGCTTAGCGACGAGACGTCGGCGGTAAACCCCAACCGGCTGACGCCTCGCGAAAGAGAAATTTTAAAATATCTTTTAGAGGCCATGACGACGAGCGAGATTGCGTCGGAGCTGCATCGCAGCCTAAAGACAATCTCGGCATTGAAGCAAAGCGGCTGCGAAAAGCTGGGTGTGCAGAGCATTGCAGGACTATTCAAGCTCAAAGATCGCATCATTTAATCATGAATGTATCATTATTATAGGAGAAAGGTCACTTTTCTCGTTTACTTTTTTAAAAGAAAGAATTCTATTTCTCCGTCTCTCTCCCCCCGTCTTCTTTAATTAATAGTATTAGTATACACTACACAGAACTTCTGTCCTGCTACTGCATTATAGACTGACTTGCTCTATAATATGGTTCGATAGATACAAGGCGTAATAATTAAAACGCATAGTCAGGTAATGCTTTCGTAACCTAGATGACTAGATACCTGCTATAAGAAGAAACACGTTTTAAGTCTCATTAAAGTATGTAAAGATTTAGTAGTCCATTATATAAATATCCTTTTACTTTGCAAAGGTCTTGTTAACCCTATAGTAGAAGTAAGAAGCTGCACCCTAGGTACCTTGCCTAGCAGTTAATAAGTGGAGTGACCTCTGCGTGAAGAAGTACTACCGAGCGGGCCTTTTGGCGAGTGACTGAAAATAGAATGAACATCGGCAGCTCCTGCATATTCAGCTTGGGCAGCAGCCAGCCAATAATTTGACTCCAACGTGCCGCAGCCCGTTCCTGGCGGTTGGGCAGCGGGCAAGGTGGTAGCCTGAGAACCCCTTGCCCGTCGATATACATCTCATCCATCTACTTTGGCCCATTGGCAAGCTCTTTCCTCCAGACATGACCGAGTTTGATTGCTGTAGTCGCCAAAGTTATTCGTCTCGCACAATCCGCCATGTCTGAAAGGCGCAATGCCTTCAAGCGTACGTGGGTGGCTTTTAAATCCAGCCTCTGCTGTACCCCGCGCGATACAGGTACGCCAAGGCACGCAGTTGGATGCGTATACACTGGAGCTGATGATTCTTCTCATAGCACGGTCCTCTGAAGCGTCACCTCAAGGTATATAAAAGGATGGCAACGAATAGTCTCCAGTGTCGAAACTAACACACTAGCTGCTCAATCGCAATCACATATCACGCCGAGCGTCCTCCCAAGTCAGCTTGCACATTCCACTGAAGGTGGTAGCAACAGCTCCTGTCAGACGGAGGCGGTGCCTGTACCGAAGCAAGGTTTGGCATCCTTCACGAAGCAGAGCCACAGGCTTTCTTACGAATTATGGAATAAAGCCTACGATGAACTTGGAAAGGATGAAAGCGAGCTTGTCGGCAATTATGCCAAAGTGCTAGCCAAGGCACTAGCTGAAGAGATCACCGAGGCTCAATATGAAGAGACTCGAGACGACTCGGCCGGCCACTCCGACGAGCGCAAATACGTGAAAGACCTCACCGCTCGGGTTTTTGTCGAGTTGAATGTCTCAAAAGCCAAGACAACTGTTGATGAAGCCCCCCCTGGGAGCAGTTCGGCCGAGCTCGATCAAATTTCGACCAGTATTCTGGCTAAGCTGAAGGATCCAGCCAAGCGGCAGATGTTTCTTGAGATGCTAGTCAGCCGTGGACAGCTGAAAGTCAAAAAGACAGAGGGCATAGCCAAGGCAGCTGGTTACGTGGCGGAGAAAGGTTTATTTATCAAGCCGGCGGTTGATTTGATACTACAAATTCCTCAAGCGGCGCCTGCTGCACTTCCGTGGGCTGGAATATGTCTCGGCATGAAGGTACGTGTGCATAGCTCATAGTTTGCTCTGGTCAATCGCATACTAACACTTGATCAGATGCTCTCATACCCAGCAGACTCGGCACAGGAGCAGCGCGACGGGTTTAGTTTCGTTGCTCACAGAATGCAGTGGTACTATGCTATGACGGATTATCTTCTTGATCATGACGATAAGTCAAGCACAGGTCAGGACTCTGCCTCCATCTTGGAGATGTTGACGGAAAAGCTCTTCGACCTTTATAAGGCTATCTTGCGCTATCAGCTACTCAGCGTCTGTTATTATTACAGCAACCCATTCCGCCAGTTGTATGACAACGTGGATTGGGCAGGCTCCAAGAAGGCCGTGGAGGATGCCGAATGTGTCTTTTCGAAAGATTGGGACTGCTATAAGAAAGTTGAGGCTAGAAACCTTTGGGAAAACATTGGTCAGACACTTCAGAACTACGTCTCTCAGCAGAATGCAAGACTTCTGACTCATGAGAACCGCGAATACCTGCAGGCTCTCTGGGTTGGTGACCCACAAGATGAGATGAATGACATTGAGGACAAGAAGGGGGGGTTATACGATAACATGTGTGAGTGGATGCTGAGCCACCCAAACTACAGAGCGTTCACCGCATGGGATGAAAACCGTTCTTGCCTCGGCGGCCGTCTTCTGTGGATAAAAGGTCCTGCCGGGATAGGGAAGACAATGGTCATGATTCGTATCGTTCGAAACCTCCTAAAACAACGGAGGGTGCAAAATCTGGCCTACTTTTTCTGTCAAAGTGCGAAATCTAACCAGAACACGGCGACAACCATCGTGCGGGCTTTGCTATGGATGCTGCTAATTCAGCAGCCAAACCTCATTACGCACATACAAACGAAATTCCAATGGGCCGGCAAAGACATGTTCGAGAAAGACTCTACAATACGAGGTCTTTTGGAGGTGTTTGAGAACATATCCAAAGATGCGTCCCCGGTCTATTTCTTCGTTGATGCGCTTGACGAATGTGACGAGGGGCAGAAAGAGATTATTGAGCTCATCGCCGCTTCACTCAAGGTTTCCAACAACGTGAGGTGGCTCATCACGAGTCGTACAGAGGTTGAGTTGGTGGACAAGGTGACGAGCGCAACTACGAATGCTTCCGTCGTCCTTGATGAGATAGACGTGCTAGCCCAGACGGGAAGAGACGAGATGTACATTCAACATAGGCTCTCGGCCCTGAAAGAGCAACCCGGACTGGAGTATGACAAAGTTGACTGCGAAAAGCTCAAGAAAGAAATTCAAGAAAGAGGAGACGGCAATCTTCTCTGGCTGGCCGTTGTATTTGACAGTATCAAGGAAATGCGCGCTGAATACGCTCAGAAGGAGATCAAGAATGCTCCTCGCGGCGTGAAGGGGCTGTATGACCACAAAATACGTCAAATTCAGAGTATGAAAACAGAGGAACGTCAGCGTTGCTATGATGTTCTGATGGTTGTTTCGCTTGCATACAGCCTCCCAATTTCCATGTCCGAGCTCGAGATACTTGTTCCGTGGTCGGCTAGATTCGACCCGCTGGTGTCACTACGCAAATGCAGCGCCTTTTTGATGGCTAGATACGCAAAACAACGCAAGACAATCATTGATGTCAATCACAAGACAGCCAAGGATTATATAATCGAATCCAGAGATTGTCTCCGCGGTGATGCGATCAGAGGACATGCAGATCTTGTTCGGTACTCGATTGATGCCCTTACCTCGGAGAGGCGGGACATCTTTAAACTCGGCCGTTGGAAATCGCAGATTTTACCGCCTTTGGAAGCGAATGATCTGGTGTGTATCAGATACTCGCTGGTTTATTGGCTTGACCATCTCTGCGAGGCGATCAATCACTCTGATTTCTCCGAGGGAAGAGCTCTCTGCGAAGCCGCCTTGGAGTTCTTGAAGGTACACTTCCTGCATTTGCTGGAGAGCTTAGGCCACTTGGATCGAATTCCAGTCATTCTTTTATCGATCAGAAAGCTGTTGCAAATTCTCAAGGTCCGTTGTTCGTTTTCACATAGCTCCATCTATACATGCTAACAAGCAGCAGCCATGCGCGAAATTCCATTCGGATGCTAAATCTGATCTTTTTGATTTTTTGACGCACGCAGAAAGGTTTACCGCCATGTACATGGATATGATATCGCAGGAGCCGTTGCAGACCTACGGCGCTGCGCTTACGTTCTGTCCAAACCGGTGCAAGATGAAAGAGTTATTTTGGGGTAGCCAGCGAATTCCCCTTCTCAAGAGCGTCAAAGGCATCGAGGATGACTGGGACTTTTCTTTGATTCAAGTACTTCGGGGCCATACTGAACCCATTTCAGCGATGGCGTTTTCTTGTGACGGAACGCTCGCATCAGCATCGAGGTGGTATGGAAAAGTCATAATCTGGGGCTTGCATACAGGGAGAGAAGCAAAAGTTCTGTGCAAAGATCTGGTTAGCATTTCAGCTATCGCATTCTCGTACGATGGGAAGCAACTCGCGGCAGTATGGGAAAAGGGCAACGTCAGACTCTGGAACTTGCTTACAGGAGAAGAGGCTAATATGCATACTTTCCACTCCGAGACTGTCAGTGCTCTGGAATTCTCGCGCGATGGCACGCTTGCCTCGGCTTCAGATGACAGAACGGTCCGGATCTGGGACCCGGCTAAAACAAACACGATGAAAATTCTTAGTGGTCATACTGACCGGGTTTTCGCCATCGCATTTTCCCATGATGGAAAGCAGCTTGCATCTGCGTCGAAGGATAACACTGTCAGACTCTGGGACGCTGCCACAGGATCCAAGTTGCGCTTGTTTGGGGACTTTCATTTTGAAACCGTAAAATCTGACATCACCTTCTTGGGTGATGGCAAAGATCTCTTATTATGCTCCTCGGGTATCATCACGCGATTGAATGTAGCCACAGGAGCCAAGACGCTACCTCTCAACCGCCAGACTAGGCACGATTTTCTTGAGTTTGCTCTGTCGCCTGATTGTACTCAACTCGCAACAGTAAATCAGAGCTTAGAGATCGAGCTGTGGGACTTGACGACGGGGGATGCATTGCAAGGATTACGCACAGGTTACTTGGTCACATACTCTCCTGACGGGAAGATGCTCGTATCAGCTTACTATGACGGCACGATTCGTCTCTGGGACTCGACTATGACAAGCACGGTTGCAACATCATCTTCCGTTGGTTTGACAGACGTTTCCGCACTTGCATTCTCACCTAATGGTGAGCAACTTGCGTCAGGATTTGAGGATGGCTCAATTCGCGTTCAGAACTCTGCTACGGGAATTGAGATAGTGCCGCGGATACGTGCCCATCACACAATCGTGACAACTTTTGTATACTCTCCAGATGGTGGTCAGCTGGCGTCTGTTTCTTTTGACGGCGCTATTAAGCTCTGGGACACGGCCGCAGGGTATAAAATCCAGCGAAGTCTGGACAGCCGTGGCGGAGGGATCAGAATACTTACCTACTCTAGCGACGGTAAACAGATTGTTTCAGTATCGTATGATGGAGCAATCGTGCTCTGGGATCCAGCCACCGGGCTAGGGAGGTTGGTATTTGATACGCGCTGCTCCGACTCGGAGACCGCTCTCTCTCTCGATGGCCAATATATTGCTTCGGCGTGGGACAACACTCTCAAACTTTGGGACCTGGACAAGGACTTTGTCTCGCCTGTGTGGTGCCAGACCGTAAAGCACGGACCATTCGCGATTGTGGGGATTGTGCTTTCCCCTGACGCAAAACAGATTGTATGTTTGTCAAAGACAGCCGTCTACTTCTACGACACGGCGACAGGTGCGGTAGCGGACGCTACATATCAACTACCGCGTGAGTGTTTCCAATATGCGCCGCACAGCCTACGGCTCTCATCCGATGGCCGAATGCTATGCACGGAACGAGGGTGCATAGAGATTCGTCGTTTGCCTCTGGAGAAGGCCTCATCTGACTCTGCAGCACCGGAAGAAGCAATCTATGTCGGCCATAGGTCAATAACTCGCGGGGGGAAACGGATGCTTTGGCTACCAGAGGCATATAAATCGAGAATTGCAGTGGCTTATGGTCGTCTTCTGGCAATTGCGTATAAATCTGGTTCCGTGATCATCATTGAGCTTGAGGAACCTTGTGAGAAATCACCTGCCGGTTCCCAGAGCAAGGAGTCCAGATGTTAGGACAATCGGGCGCCCGGGGCCCCTAGATCCAACGGCCAACAGCCCGTTGCGCCTGGCAGGAACCAGTTTCGGGGATTATTGTGAGAAGCGTGCACCGCCGGGCCATGCTGCCGATGAACCGTGCAGCAACTGGCCAGTCTCACCGTGATGGTGGTCATTCTCCGGCCTGTCTTCCATCAACCTATTCAATCTTGCCCGTTTCGGCTCTTACACCGTTAGGCGACGTATCGCATGACGTTTCTGCATCGCCAAGGAAATATGAGGATGGCTATTACAACCTGCCAAGGTAAATCAAGTAATCTAAGATCTGTGACCGTTCAATGAGCTAAAGTCCTTGTTAGAGACACAGTTGCTCATTCTCTGCTTCTGAGAGGGAAGAGCTATGAAAGGCAGGCGAGATTCTTTTTTTTTTCTTTTTCTTTGATAATGCAGGACGGAAAACATTTCGTATAATATAGTATATAATCAAAGTCCGGCGGGGAATTTAGCACGTGCCATTTCGCTCCCCGGATTTGCTTTAGCCAATCAGCGGCAGTTAATGTCAGCTACCAATAAGCAGCCACACGCACGTCCCTAACACGTCCTATTTATTTAGCAGCCTAACACCGACCGGGAACATCATCACCTTGCCGAGGCAATTGGTGGGTCTCGACTCTCAGTCGGCATTCAACGATGGTCCGGCTGTTCGTCCACGCCTCTGCCGGAAAGCCATCATCCGTTTAACTCTAAACCTTTATCTCTCTCATCGCCGCCGTGACTTGCTTCCCTCCATTACTCACAGGAAGTTCTTCTGTCGCCTTGCTCTCCGCCCTTCTGTCCCCGCCCTTTCTCCCACATCTCACACAATATGGCTCCTCCAGCCGAGACCTTTACCCGCGAGGAGGTGCGCGAGCACACCTCGGAGGACTCTCTCTGGTGCATCATCGACAGCATCGTCTATGACCTGACTGACTTTGTCATGGCGCATCCCGGCGGCGAGGCTGTCCTGCAGCAGGTCGCCGGCCAGGACGCCACCACGGCCTTTTACAACCTGCATCGCCAGGAAGTCCTCAAAAAGTATGCCGACCTCGCCGTCGGCACCGTCAAGGGCGAGACCCCCCAAGTCATCGTTCCGCAGCCCGGCGACCTTTCGCAGATTCCCTACGCCGAGCCTCTCTGGCTGACGCCGGCTTTCAAGACGCCCTACTACAACGACACTCACCGCGCCCTGCAAAAGGCCGCCCGCATCTTTGTCGACGAGCACCTGATCCCCGAGGCGCAGGAGTGTGAGAGCACCGGTCGCTACATTTCGCAGGCCATGATTGACCGCATGGCCAAGGAGGGCATCCTGCACATGCGCCTCGGGCCCGGCAAGCACATGAACGGCGTCAGCCTCTTTGGCGGCGTCATGAAGGGCGAGCAGTTTGACTACTTTCACGACCTCATCATCGGGCAGGAATTCTCGCGCACCATGCAGCGCGGCTTCCAGGACGGCAACATGGCCGGCATGACGATTGGCCTGACGTGCGTGCTCAACTTTGCCCACGACGAGGCCTGGAAGCGGCAAATCGCCGACGAAGTCTTTAGCGGCAAGAAGAAGCTCTGCCTGGCCATCACCGAGGCCTTTGCCGGCTCCGACGTGGCCGGCTTGCGCACGACGGCGGAGAAGACGCCCGACGGCAAGCACTACATTGTCAACGGCACCAAGAAGTGGATCACCAACGGCTGCTGGAGCGACTACTTTGTCACGGGCGTGCGCACGGGCGAGCATCTCTCGGTGCTGCTGATCCCCCGCGGCGAGGGCGTCGAGACCAAGCCCATCAAGACGTCTTACTCTCCCGCCGCGGGAACGGCCTACGTCACCTTTGACAATGTCAAGGTGCCCGTCGAGAACCTTCTCGGCGTGGAGAACAAGGGCATCCATGTGATTCTCTCCAACTTTAACCACGAGCGTTGGATGATGTGCACAGCGACAGTCCGCTCCATTCGCACCATTGTTGAAGAGTGCCTCAAGTGGTCCAACCAGCGCCTCGTCTTTGGCCAGCGCCTGATTGACCAGGCTGTAATTCGTCACCGGTATGTCCTTCATTAAAACCCTACAAATCAATCAACAGAACATTTTACTAACAGTCAGATAGCCTTGCCAAAATGATTGCTCTCGTCGAGTCCCACCAGGCCTGGCTCGAAAGCATCACCTACCAAATGTGCCACATGCCGTACAAGCAGCAGGCTCAGCATCTCGCCGGTCCCATTGGCCTGCTAAAGATGAGCTGCACCCGCGCCGCGCACGAGATTGCCGACGAGTCTGTCCAGATCTGGGGTGGTCGCGGCCTGACCCAGACGGGCATGGGCAAGCACATTGAAATCTTCAACCGCACTTACAAGTTTGACTCGATTCTTGGCGGCTCCGAGGAGATTCTCGGCGACTTGGGCGTGCGCCAGGCAATGCGCAACTTCCCCAAGTCGATGCTATAAATGTTAAGCCAAAGATTTGGCAAATAAAAGGGGTTTCATTTTCAACAGAATCTTGCCGTATGATATGTATTTTACTTTTCTCTGTACGCATCGGATAGAAATGTCAGATAGATGACACTAGTCAACATTATTCACGACTCGGAATTTCTCGTTTCCCAAATCACATTCATTTGCCCTAGTATCAACTAAGTACCGATATTCGTTTTTGCCCTCCTAGCATTCATGGTCGCGTGCCAACGTCCATGGTCGTTTGCCAAACTTTTGAATTCGTAAACACCCAAGTGAAAGAACAAAACTTAATGCCCAAGAGATCCGTTCGTCGTGCTGCCGGCGAGGCCATCGATCTTGTCCCTAGAATCTCCATGCGTCCAATCCAGTAGCGTAAAATGCCGAGCTTTTCAGCGATCATGAAACCGTGTGTTGCAAAGCCAAGACGTAACAAATGAAAGACGTAAAATAAAGAGACAAGAAGTAATCGTGGGTATCATGGATGGAGCTGCCACGCCAACTTATACTCGGACTATCCGAGTGCTCCCCGAAAGCACCAATTAGTTGTTGGGGCAAGCGGCCTGGACGTGCCCAGACTGCTGGCATTTATAGCAGATCTTTTCGCCACCGGTAGACTCCTTGGGACAGTCGCGAGAGTAGTGGCCAGACTCGCCGCAGTTGTAGCAACGCATGCCATTGACACACTCGCCTAGGCATGGTTAGTGAAAGATTGACAGTTTTGAAAGAGGAGCTCCTACGAGACATATGGCCGTAGCCTCCGCAAGAGTAGCAGGTTTTGCCAGCACCACCATTGTAGCTGGCCCCGTAACTGCCGCCATATGACGACTTGGTGCAGTGGCGAGCGATATGGCCCATCTCACCGCACTGTGTGTTTTAGCAGAGGGTCATCTGAACAGAAGAAAACTGCCTACCTTGTAGCACTCGGTGGACTGGCCATTTCCTCCGGCAGTGGGGCACTCGCGAGACAGGTGGCCGGGCTGGCCACACTTGTAGCATGACTTGTTCTCCTTCATGGGCTCCGAGCATTCGCGGCCTATGTTTATTAGCGACATTTCGGGTGTTGAAGGATGGCAAACCAACTTAGATGGCCCTCGTTGCCGCAGTTATAGCTGTTTCATTATCGTTAGAGTATGGCGACAGCTGTACTGATTTGAGCAAACATACCACTTAGCAGGACCCTTGGAGGGGCAATCGCGAGCCTAGGGTTTGTCAGCATGTGATACGCGAAGAGACAAGACTTGCTGTTTGTTATACCTGGTGACCGCTGTTGCCGCCTGTGATCTTGTTAGCTTCTGGAATGGTAGAAGGCGAATATGCGGAATAGCAGAGCCCGGGTCGCAGAGTGTTCATTTGAGCCAAAGAGGTCGCATATGACAACATGACAACTCAACGCGCTGCATAAATGGCATGGAATGCAAATTCGAGCACAGTGTGGTGGCAACGGCGACGATGCTTGGGCTGGGGCGATGAAGATGTACTCACAAGAATAGCAGGCACCGCGGCTAGGAGCGGCAGCGGAATCGGAAGGAGTGAATTCCATTTTGAGGATTTGAAGAGTGCAAATTGAAGCTAGAAAGTGACCAAATTAGCCACTTGCGTGTGGAGAGAAGCGTGTGCAATGATGTCGATTGATTGCTGGGCTAAAAGAAGCTGCCTGGGGCCGCTGCCGATTTTGAGTGAAGGTGCGAAGGTGCGAAGATGATGAAGAGAATGGAAGCATCGCGCCGGCGTTAGGGAAAACATACGGGATGCAAGAGAATTCGTGACTTGGCGTCGATTGCAAGAGAAGAGGAATTGAGCTCGAAAAGTGGTGATGCACAAGATAGAAAAGCTGCAGTAGTTATCGCGAAAAGTTTTTGGGCCAAGTGCTGCTCAGCTCAGCAATTTTCGATTTTTTTTACTGGGCTGGGCGGGCCGTTTGCTGCCACGGCCTAGAGCATGCCTAATATTCAAACGGCGGCTGCACGTCCGCGTTGGCCAATGGACGGAATTTTCCACAAGCGGTACTAAGCGTGGGGAAAGTCTGATAATTGACCGCGATGTCAGCAATGACAATTCGATATTCACGTATTTGGTAGGAAAAGCATTCACATTCGAATTTCTGCCTCTCCTCTTTTCCAGTGTTCCTTAACTTGATGCCTACGTTCGTTCGTTTGCACCGTGTTGCGCGCACGTTGTAGCCAGCTGCCGGCTGCCAGCTGCCCTTCACTAACAAGACGCCGGCACGGCCGGGGATGATCGGTGGCTGAGGAGCAGCGTGCTTCGCTACGCTGGCACCGGAGCGAATGCTCGTGGATAGTCACTGATGCAGTAGTTTGAACAGAATGGTTGATCTCATAGTATTTTGAAAGGGGTTCTAGAATATTTTTAAAATTCAGTACCAATTCGTCCCATCTATTTATCCACGCGGAAATCGTGTGGCCGGCTGCTTCTGTAGTGACACATCACGTGTAGTGGCGCGGTCGCGCTGTCAGCGCCGATCATATGTGGCTACGCGAATATCATCGTTCGCGTCCGTCCTACGCGTCGAGCTTCACCGGAGGCCGAAAATGACGAGTTGGTTCGACAAGGGGCGTCCTGCGCTTCAAGAGGCATTGGAGAAAATATGCAATCAAATTGACGCGGATATAGCGGCTGGTAGCTTACTCCAGACTGCCCTCTGCGCCGCACTTCACACTGACTGACTATAGACCTGGAGAGCTCCAGCGACGCCCGAGAACTCGCCGACTGCAAGGCCCTCTTGCAACAAAATGCCACCAAAAATGATTTCTTAGTGAAAGAGAACGCGGCCCTTCGAGCTGAACTCGAGCAGCTCCGACGTAGCAGCGCCATTGGCAGGTTGCCTCCCGAGCTTCTTGCGCCGCCTAGCTCTTCCATGGCAAACGGAGCGCTCGAGGTGTCGGATCCCGAAGTGGCGCAAAAGGCTGAACACATAAAACTCGCACAACGATTCAGGCTACTCAACGAGAATTTTCGCAAGGCGCGGAGCGCACTTGAGCGACGAAAAGCCGAACGGGACACATGGAAAATGCGCTTCGAGACCCTGCAGGAACAGGTTCAGGCTGCCGAATCTGAGCACGGCGTGGAAATCTCCAACCGGGCGTCAGTCGCGTTGGCTGCCCTACAACCCGCTGCTGTGTCGTTTGGGAGCAGCTTCTCCAGTAACGTCGAAGTGAACGAGGCGGCATCAGAGCCTGAGGAGCCGCAGCTGCCTCCCATGATTCCCAAGTCATCAACCTCGAGGTGCTCCACTGGCTCTGTTCTGGGACCACTCGACTCGACCCAAGGCGATTCCGAAGAAAACGATCGTTCATCTCTTCCCACTACCACCGAAGCACCATCGGAGCTCCTCGTCAAGGGAGAACCGTCATCTGATGAGCCTGTCGTGGTTTCGGAAAGGCCTGTCAAGAAACGGAAAGGCAACGATGACTCCGCGAATAAACGGCCACTCGTCCGCATCAAGGCGGAGCCAGAAGACGATTCGAGTCCAGTTTTTGGAGAAACGCGAATACCCGCCTCCCAGGAAAGTATTGATCTTGGAAACATTACTCACCTGACAACGCCTCGCAAGCCAAGAGAGGCAGAATCTACTCCGAAACTGCCGCCCATCTACAGAACTCCACCAGCAGATGCAGGGAAGACCGCGACTCCAGTTGCAAGATACGTTCGGCACGATATGCCTATCTCACAAACAGCAAGAGCCAGTATTATGTCCTCTGCTCTGACGCCAATCAGCGTCAACAGAAGAATGATCGGCTCTGGAGGAGACAAGACTGCCAAGATGTCGCGGAAACGGCAGCTTGAGGAGAGCATAGCAGACATCGCAGATGATGGCACCTCTTTCAGGGCCGGTCAAGACAAGACACCTCTTGGAAATGCGCAAAATAGAAATCAAACGCCCGGAAGTCGTTTGAAGCAGCTTCTGCATGAAGGAGAGGCGGATAACAGCCCAGCACTATTACGGCCATCCCGACAAGATCGCAAAGGTGTATCCATAGCGACGGCCGATCTAAACATCCCGGAGCGTCGCGAGCTGCCATTCGAGAAGCAGACACGCCAAAGCAGACCAGTTCTCCAACCACCCACCATTGCGCAAGCAAGGTCGCGCTCACCACAACGTTCGCCGCAGCGGCTGGCTCGGCAAGGCCAACTTCGCCTGAAATCGCCCCGAGAGCTGCATCTTGACGATTTCCGAGTCAATCCCGCAGCAAATGAGGGCCACGACTTTGCGTTCTCTGACGTGGTCCGAGACAGGGACGACAGAGCTTGTCTGCCAGGCTGCGCCGAGATGCATTGCTGTGGCAAGCAGTTTCGCGCTCTAGCTATCTCGCAGCGACCTGATCCGCCACTGACGGCGGCACAACGAATGGAAGAGCAAAGTTTACTGGAGCAGCATCTCGGCGACTATGCATATCGCCTGGCGACGATGGACCCAGCAGAGCGGGCTGAGGCATGGATACAAGCCAAGACGCAGGAGCTCGCAAATAAATACGGTAAACACCGACACCGATACTCGCGTATGCAGTCTCCCCCGGGATTCTGGGACGCGGATTTTCCAACCACACAGGAGTTGGAGATGGGCAGAGAGGAGGCGGCTGAGCGGGAGAAACGAGCCATTCGAGAGCGGTACAGAGAGGCAATGAAGCCAGGTGGACGATGGTTATTTAAAGATGAGTAGGGCTTTGCTCTACGGCGGTTTCTATGCGTAATTGTTTCTTTTGTCAAATTTTCTGATGTCATTTCTGGCATCAGGAAAGAAGCATGCTTCAAGGGCTGAAGCCTGGCGTTACTCGGGCACGGGTCTTGGTGTTGATATGCGTATCAACTATTATTGCTCTGTTGACATGCAGAGCATGCTTTCCGTTATTCAATACAATTCGTGCGTATCTTGACCTTATTTTAGTGTTCTTATATTTATCCTCGTTCTTTGACTGAACAGCGCATTCGGCAAAACGGATGCTGTCCAGCTTATACCTCAGCCAACTCTAGTTGGCTGACCGGGTGAAGGAAGTAAGCAGCATATGCGTCGGTCGATGACTTAAAAATAAATTCGACTGCGGCATGAATCTTGTTGGGGGGGGGCGGGCCGGCCTTCATTTGATGCCTCAGACACCTATTTGTGGTCAACGGCTCGCGAGCACGAGCTACCTGGATTTAGTCATGGCGCCCACAAAATTTTGACTGGGACCCTCTCGCCTACGCCTCCACCGGAGCGCATCTTTGAACAAGCTCCTACTCGTGCGCTGCTTCTTCCGTCTCATCACCAAGCTGGATTTCACTTTTTCTTTTGATTTGCTTCCTTTCTCTTCTCGCGAAGCTCTGCATCTTTGAATTCTCGATCGTTTCGTCTCCTTTCTTCTCCTTCTTCGACTTGTTTTCTGGCTTACTCTGCGCTCCTAATCACTGCTGCCTATTTCCCCAAACGTCTCAATCTTGGGCAGACCGCGCCTCTACGCGCGTGTCACCAACGAGGCAATCGGATCGAGCCTATAAGCATCATTGCTACAGTCTGGCATCGCCCAGTCACTTGCATTGCTGCTGCGGTCTGAGACCCACGCAGCTCTTGTTCGTTACGAGAACTGCTTGCGACACCATTGCGCACCGCCAGCGCGCGCCCTCCCCGACGCTCCGAGCACTCTCTGGATACGGCAGTGTCACCCCTTGGGCGGCACCCGTATCAACCGACCCCCCACGCCGGCAAGATGAGTAACCGCCACCATCTGCCGGCTGGGCAAAACATACACGCCCACGGCGGCGTGCCCATGGACATGAACGCTCCCGGCCCAGGAGGAGGAGGTCCAAGACGAAGATATCAGCAACAGCAGTACATGCCGCAGTATCATCAGCACATGAACCCCATGTACCAAAGTTATGGTCATCAGCACAATCCTTATGTATCGCCTCAACAATACTACGGTATGCCGCCGCAGTTCCAAAACGGAGGCATGCCTTCGCCGGGATATCCACCCTACCAAGGGTACGGCCGCTCGCCGCCTGCCATCCCACAATACGTGCCCATGGTCGGTGTCAGCGTTTCTCCCAACTATCCGCGCCATGTCCAGGGCTCACCCAGCTTGTCGACGCCTTATCAACCGCCGCAGCCGAGTATTACAATTCCTCCACATACGCCCTCTTCGACACATTCTTCGCACATTCACCCTCCTCCACTCACGCCGCCAACACCTCAAACACATGATATCGCCGTTGTGCCGGCTGTGGCCCAGCCAGTAACCCAGCAACCTCCCTCGCCCCATGTTGTAAACAAGGCACGCTTCCATCCTCCACTGCCGTGGCTATCATGCGCCGATGCCGAGTTTCCCGCGAGAACTACACGCCTGCGTAGGTCGCGACAACGGATCGACAGAAATGCTAAGGCTGTCTCACTCCCCAAGGACCAACATGATGCCGCGACAGGTGCTCCGGCCACTGAGCAGCCTCTGGCTTCCGCGCCAGACACTACCCAGCAGATACCGGTTGTGAACGCTAACCAGGAGACCCAAACCGGTCAAACTGAGTCTCCTCAACAGTCTGCACCCGAATCCAGCGAACCTGCTCCTGCTGTACGTCCGCCCCCAACTAGCTGGGCCAAACTCTTTGCCAAGACGCCTATTGCCGCCGTTGTCAGCATCAATGGGGACAATGAGCCTTCACATGAGGCGAACGGAGTCGCTGTTGAGGGAGACCCTGATGTCGTTTCCTCAACGCTCATTTCCAAAGCCAACTCTATCGCCGAAGCCATTCGATCCTACAAGGTTGGCGGCGCTGAAGAAAAGACAGTATTCCTGGAGCCTCGTGGCCTAATTAATACCGGCAACATGTGCTATATGAACTCCGTCCTTCAGGTCCTCATGTTTTGTTCTCCGTTCTACGACTTCCTCGACCAGATCAGCAAACGTGCCGCTCACAGCTTCAAAAGTGAGACGCCTCTCCTAGACGCCATGATCATGTTCATGCATGAGTACCGAGTACTGAAGTCGGCGCCGACCAATGAGCAGCTGCGAAAGTCGATCCGTGGTGAGGAGATTGAGCGCTACGGCGAACCGTTTACCCCCGAATTTGTATACGAGGCTATAAGACAGCTCCCACGATTCGCCAGCATGCGTCGGGGTCATCAACAGGATGCCGAGGAATTCCTTGGCTTTCTACTCCAATCGCTCGATGATGAATGCACGAATGTTATGAACAACGCATCGCAAACTGCCAGCCAAGCTGCCGGCTCCGAGACCGCGTCAGCAGACGGTTCCACCGACCCCAGCGGCGACTGGCTCGAGGTTGGTCGTAAGCAGCGTGCTGCCGTCACACGCTCTTCGGGATCCAACACATCTACCCCTGTTACCAAGGTTTTCGGCGGTCTCCTGCGCTCCGAGTTCCGCGTTCCCGGCTTGAAGGACTCCATTACTACGGAGCCATACCAGCCACTCCAGCTTGACATCGGCTCGCCCGAGATTAGGAATGTTGTGGACGCACTTCGTGGCCTCACCCGCCCCGAGCGTTTACAGGGCGACTTCAACTCGCCTCGCGGCAAGGATATTACTGCGACAAAGCAGGTTTTTATCGAAACTCTGCCTCCTGTTCTGATTCTGCACCTGAAGCGCTTCCAGTTTGATGCTGAAGGTGGTACAACCAAGATTTGGAAGAATGTCGGATACCCTCTTGATTTGGAGATCCCTCGTGAAGCTCTCTCTCGCCAGTCACGTCAATCTTTGGGCGTTGGCGCTCTGCCTAAATACAAGCTCATCAGTGTCATTTACCATCACGGAAAGAACGCCAGTGGGGGTCACTATACCGCGGATGTTCGTCGTCAGGACGGCCGTGAATGGCTGCGCCTTGATGACACGGTCTTGCACCGTCTCCGCAGCGAGGATGTTGCCAAGGGTGGCTCGGAGGAGCAGATCAAGGACATTCGTAAGGACAATAGTCAATCCAGCACCAACAACCCCTTTGGCGCCATAAATGATGAAGATGATGGTAACGAGGAAGGTTGGAATCAGGTGACCGCTTCTGCGGGAAGCGGTGGGAAGCGGTGGAGCAGCGTTGTCAATGGCGCCACCAACGGGAACAGCAAGGATAAGTACGTGAAGGACGGCATCAAGGACAACAAGGTCGCGTACATCTTGTTCTACCAGCGTACCTGAAAGCTCAGAGTTGGCACGACAGGGACAGGCTTCTGCGCAATTGTACTTGTGTAACGAAAAAGGAAAACTTTCGTTTGCAGAGACGGGCCACTAGAAGACGCTGAGATCGAATGTACACCCCCCGCGGGACTAACTGCATGCAGCGCTTCCCGGCCTCTCGATAACGAAATGGGAAAGAAAATGGACAAGTGAAGTAGTATTGGAGTTAGAGGTCCTCTATTTGAGGCAGATGGCGAGCGGAAATGCTGGTTTAATACACTGGCTGGAATTGGGGTCCGTGGGAAACTAGGAGAACGATGTAGGGACGATTTGTATGTACGTTCGGTCAGGTGTGTGTGTTATGGGCGTACGGCATGGAGAGAAGTAATAGAGGTGGTGAGCACGTATATTCCCTTGTGATGTTTGACGCAACTTGTCTGTTGGGCGTGATGCATGAGGCAAATTCGGAGGGACATTCAAGTAGGCTACAAGAAAGTAGCAAATCAAGCAGTCATTTGTCATCAAGATTTTGGATGCAGAGAGTCAAACGTAACAAAAGAGAATTGGCTTCTTATCTTCAATGGACGCAGAAAGAGCACGGTCTTATTTCCAGAACCCAGCTGTCTATACATAGGATACACAGGACCCAAAGTAGGGCTCAAAACTAATGTAAGTTTTGCGCCCACTTGCCGGGCCCTTTTCTTTTTCGAATTTATTTTCTCTCTCGCTTCCCATATAAGCAAGACTTGTGTCAGCCGCTCGGGTTATCGAAAAGAAACTTAGTGCTTCTTGATGACGGTCATGGAGTCAAGAGCATCCTTTTCGGCAAGCTCAGCCTCGACCTGAGCAACAAGGTTGCGGAGATGCGGTGTGTCCTGTTTCGCGCCGGTCAGTTTCCTTTTCTTTCCTCGTTTTTACTTGGTATGAGAAGAGAAGAAGAGAGGAGGTGGGGGGGCCTTACATCCTCGGGCTTGGTCCAGTCCTCCTTGGGTAGTAGCTTGTGCTGGTAGCTGCACTGGGTGGCGCGACGGATGCGGTAGATGCGATCGTAAGACTCCTGGCTGGATAGGCGCTTGATTGCGATTTGAACGGCCTCGCGCTCCTCCTCGAGAAGGTCGTCGAATCTAATGTTTTTGATGTCTAGTTAGCATGCGGCTCGGAATGAGTAGGGCGAGTCCCATTGGCTTCGTGAATGACGCAATGTCAATATCGAGAGCGTCTTTTGTCGGTAATTGATCGTGGTATAAGTTCGCAGAGACTCGAAAAAAAGTGCAATTGGAGGACGAAAAGCCCCCCGGAATTGCGATGGGTGGCGCTGAGCTGACTCCTCCCAGCGCGGCCTGCTCATCATCGCAAGTCAGGAGCTGGGCAGAAGTATGCAGCATTTCCCCCAATTGAGCCAGCTGGCAACAACAAAAATGGGCTTCATTGTTTCAATTCGACGCGGGTTTGCTGTGACGCTCGTCGACATTTGCGGATTCGTCATTCACGGAAGTCGGGTGATTCTTCGCCATTAAAAAAAAGAACCAAAGAATTCGTACCTCAGGCCCAGCTTGCGGTAGCCGGCGGCGTTGGCGTACCAGCTCGCGGCGGGCATCAGCATCTTGGTGAGCCACGGGCGGCGCAGCACAAAGGGGGCGAGAGAGACCATGATTATTGCCGTTGGAGACCGGGGGGAGGCTATCGTGGGTTGACTGAGTGGTGAGGCAGGATCAAGATGGGTTCGTTTCGGCCGGTTTTGCCAAATAGCGCGCAGGGAAAGACGACGGGTCATCAGCAGCACCGTGATTGGCCGGCGCGGCTCTGCTGGATTTGCCTTGGCTCAGGCCACTGGAAGAGGTCGGGATGTCACGTGAGTTACCGGCAGTGATCAAGCTGCACGTCGTTCAAACTGGTCCTTACAATCTATTTTTATGTTTTTAAATTGCATCACGAATCGATTTCATTATAATTTAGGTCTATCATATTCCAGGGCGCTGCTGTTTTAAGTAGTTCTACGTGGACGAGCTGTCTCTGCTACGTGGATGACCTAGTACTTCTGATTTGCAGGCCTCCACACTATAGATTAAGTACCTTTCTTCTTTATTATACTTGGCAATAAGCTCGCATCTAAATTTTGATATAAAGCTCACGCTAGTTACTTGATAAGAAAAGAACTCTGGGAAAGTTGTTGAGTAAGGAATTTGTCCTAGTTCTTCTAAGAATATATCTAATATTATTGTGCAAATAGTGTAGTACTTTTATGCCGACGACAGGCTGGTGAGCTTGGTCTTTGCAGATAAGTAGCTCCACCAAATCAGAAGTATCAAGGGCCCATCGTTCACGTAGCAAAACCGGCTCGTCTACGGAGCACTACTCCGTCATCTTCATTCATTTTACTTTGTGGCGTGTACCTATGATGGCACTTTGGCCGGGATATCCTACAACACCTACTAGCAGGCTAGTGGGTGTGTGGCGTAAATCCTTTGGCGGGAGGTTCAGAGTGGTTGGCCCAACTGTCGGGCAGCCTCTTTCTTCAAAACAAAGAAAGCAGGCAACAGAACAAGAAGTATTTCTTGACTGCTTGAGCCGAGAAAGTCACATCAAAACCGTTTATTTGCCATATTTCTGCAAGATACGCATCACTCTACTCACCGTTGCATCTGCTCCAGCCCAAGTGCGATGCGGTCGCTGGTGTTGGCCGCACTACCGGGCTGGTCTGAGCAGCTTTGTCGTCCTGACGATGTTTCACGTCCGGCACAAGGGCGACTGACAAGTAATGCACAAGTAGAAGCCCTTGTCCAAGGAGTCTTTTACTTCGGACCGGCTGCATGGCTCCTCCTTGCTGCCCCGTTTCGCATTGCCCTGCTACGAAGCGCCAAGCTTGTCGTGCTTCCCAACCGTCGACTCTACATCAAGATCGTAGGCAGCCAGTCCCCGAACATGTTCATCCGGGTTGAATCTAAAAACATAGTGATACTAACATGGCCATGTGTAGCCTATAGCCATCGCAATCTGTATCCTTCAACTTATCAGCCTTGTTTACGCATCCTTGGAACATGCTTCGTCGATTACATTGCTACAGCATCTGCTTTTTGTGCTCGCCGACGTGGTAGTATGCATTCTCTCGTTTCTCGAGCATGGACGAAGCACTGGACCTTCTACAGTCTTGACCACCTATCTTTTCTTTGTAATCTTCAGTAAGGCTATCATTGCAGGTCTGCAGTTGGTAGCCTGGAATTTGTGCACCACATGGGGCCTCTCTTCCGCCATCTTTGCAGGCAGGCTGTTGCTTTTCATCTCGGAGAGCCAGACCAAGCGGTCCATCCTCCGCAAGCCTTACGATAGGCTCCCATTGGAAGAGACTTCGGGATTCTTTGGAGTTCTTTTCTTCTGGTGGGTAAACAAATTTCTCAAGACTGGCTATTCCAAGGCTCTCTCACTCGCCGATATGCCGTCCTTGGACAAGTCACTCGACGCGATGAAAATACGCAACGCCATGCAGCAGGAGTGGCAAAGCAAAAGTACGAGGAAGTTCGACTCGTCTTTAAAAGTCACAGAGGTTGTGTGCTAACGCATGGCAGGGGATTCCCAAAGTAGGCATGCTCTCATGCGAGCGTTGCTTAAGAGTTCTTGGCGACCCAACATATACGTCGTCATTCCCCGTCTTCTCTTCACCATGCTGCGCTGCTGCCAACCTCTTCTTATCAGCCGTGCCATCATCTTTTTTAGTCAGGAGTTGTCACCTTTTGAGAACAGAAATGAAGCTTTTTGCTTGATTCTATTCACATTTATCATTTACACGGGCATGCCGGTATGTGCCAGACATTTACAAGCTTGATGAAAAAATTCACGTCTTTTATCCCCTGATTTTAAAACTTTCAATCTAGGTGTGCAATGGCGCATACGTCCGTTCACTTGCCCGGGTCAACCTCGTGGAGCGCATGGCGCTTGTCGGAGTCATTTACAACGATTGCCTGACAGTAAAGGATGGCATTTTTGATGAATCCGCCGCCGTGGCACTCATGAGCAATGATGCAGAAAGCGCGGCAGGTTGTTGGGATCTTTTCCATGACCTTTGGTCGCAGTTTCTTGAAGTTTGTATCGGAATGTACTTGTTGGCAAAAGAGCTCAGCTGGGCATGCGTTTTCCCAGTCGTTGTGGTCTTTTGTAAGTTCCTTTTCATTTTATCCAGTCACGGCGGAAGGGATATTTTAATCATTCTGACTGAATCGCTTGTCCTGTGGTTCAATAGGCACTTCCTGGATCGTCAAGTTCATTACCGCGAATCTTGCCGACCGGCAAATGGCGTTCAGTAGAGCGACGCAGAGTCGAATATCTACCACGAAAGCCGTGCTTGACTCGATGAAGAATATCAAGATGATGGGCCTCGTGGAAAGAATGAAGGCTAGGATTCAAGGCGCCAGGACGCACGAAATTGAGAAATATGCTGCTTTTTACCGGCTTCTGCTGGCGTTTTTTACAAGCTGTAAGTGGTGTCTGCCTTGTAGCCCGATTCCTGCTCGCTAATGTACTGAAATCCTCCTTTTCCAGCGGTTGCCCTGCATCTCTTTAGCCCAGCCATCACCCTCATCTTCTACGCAGTTCAGGCTCAGATTCTTGGCGCCAAGCATGTCGACACAGAAATGGTTTTTACATCACTTGCCATCATCGACATTGTGGCTTCGCCGGCGAACAATCTCCTCGGGGTCCTGCCCGAAGTCGCATCCGTTCTTGCATCTTTTGATCGAATCCAAGCATACCTCAAGATTCCCAGCCGGGAAGATAGGCGACAGTTCATTGAGACCATAACCCCCGTGAGTGGCCAAGGTCCAGTGTCTGCGCTGCCTGGCGCACCCACCGACAAGACGGCCGTTAAGCTCGACAATGTCAGTATCCGGCCCACCTCGACGGCGGATCTTGTACTGAAGAATATCAGCACAGTGTGGAAGCGGGGTGATCTAGTTGTCCTTTCTGGATCTGTTGGAGCCGGAAAGACGAGTCTTGCCAAGGCTTTGCTGGGCGAGCTATCGCAGGACTCTGGCGTTATCCAGACTGCTTACAGAACTGTGGCGTATTGTACGCAAGCAGCCTGGTTGGTGAATGGCACCGCTAAAGAAGTCATCTGTGGCCCATGTCATGGCCGCAGGACATCTGACGCGGCGTGGTACAAGAGAGTTGTGCATGTTTGTGATCTCGAGGAGGATTTCGCTCGGATGCCGGACGGAGATCAAACAGTGATTGGTGGCCGCGGCATCACCCTTTCTGGGGGACAAAAGCAGCGAATTGTGAGTACATATTTCACTGTCAAGAGAAAACGTTTTGTATTAATTCTGGTTACTGGTAGGCCCTAGCACGAGCTATCTTCGCCCGTGAAGATCTGATTATCCTCGACGATACACTCTCTGCGCTAGACGCATCTACGCAGCGTCACATTACCAATAACCTCTTTGGTCCAAAGGGTCTATTCAAGGAGCTTGGTACCACCGTGGTACTCATCACTCATACGAGTAAGACTAGTGAACAAGTTGGCTGGCCACGTATTCTGACAATCTTTGCTGCAGTGCAATATTTGCCGCTGGCCGATCACATCATTATTCTCGATGGAAAGGGCGGCGTCGCTGAGCAGGGTACATGGAATGTCCTTCGAGCTGGAACCGGCTATACCAGCAAAGTTGTCTTGAGAGAGGACACTGAGGAAGCTGAAGTCCCAACAAGGGAATACGTGGCGACTAGGGACGGTGTTCATCAAGGACTCAAAAGGTCCGACGACTTACACCAAACTACCCGCACGACAGGCGACATCACACTTTACATTAAGTGCCCTTGCCCCAAGTACAAAGTACACACTCGGTACTGTATAGCTAACAATAAGTTCAGAATACTACTTCAGCGCCATTGGTGTCTCTCGGTTACTACTTCTCGTCGTCTTTTTGACACTCAACGCCATATTTGTCGGCACCATCCCATACTGGCTCAAATGGATGGGAGAGAGCGGTGGCATGTACATGTGGTTCTATACCGGCATCTACTTTCTCCTTACCTTGGGTGCATTTGCAACCGTCGCAGCGGCTATTGCGACCGTATTTCTAGTCATTGCGCCGCATTCCGGCAACACCCTGCACCATCGACTCCTCCGCACCGTGATGCATGCGCCACAGACCTTTTTCGCAACGACGGACACGGGAACCACGCTCAATCGTTTTAGCAGCGATATAAGAATGATTGATCGGTCACTCCCATTTGCCCTATTCCAAGTCTTCCAGGCTATATTTTTGCTATTGTCGCAATGCATCTTATTGTGCATCGTCCAGCCCTTTATTGTCATCACGTTGCCATTTACTATTTTAGCGGTATACTTGATTCAGAGGGTATACTTGACGACTTCTCGACAGCTACGCGCTATTGATCTGGAGGCTCGAGCTCTTGTGAATAGCAGTTTTCTAGAGACGTTGGAAGGTGTCGCGACGATTCGCGCGTTTGGCTGGCAACAGGCTTTGAATAGGGACAATGCGCAAAAGTTGGACCTATCGCTGCGCCCGGATTACATGCTCACCTGCGTGCAGCGATGGCTAGACTTGGTTCTGGACCTCATTGTCCCCGGTCTTGCCATCTGCATTATTGGCCTTGGTGTTGTTCTCAAAGGCACCACAACGGGCGGGCAGATTGGCCTCGCTCTCAACGTGGTCCTGCAAGCCAACCGGTACATTCTTCGGCTGGTCAGCGCCTGGACAAGGCTTGAGACGTCTCTGGGGGCCATATCGCGCGTGCGTGAATTTGAGCAGAGCGTCCTGCCGGAGGAGGAACCCGGCCAGTATTCGCAGCCGCCGACAGGGTGGCCCGCCCACGGCGCAGTGGACTTTGTAAACGTCTCGGCGAGCTACGACGACTCCGTGCTTGCACTCGACGGTGTCAACCTGAGCCTTGCACCAGGAGCCAAGGTTGGTGTCGTGGGCCGCACGGGTAGCGGCAAGTCGTCACTACTGCTTACTCTACTGCGTCTCGTCGAGCTACAAGGGCCTGGCAAGGTGTGTGTGGACGGGTTGGATATTTGCGACTTGTCGCGAAATGCTATGCGCGCGCGATTTATTACGGTGCCTCAGGATCCGATGTTGGTCAAGACTGATACTGTTCGGCAGAACCTGGACATTGCAGCCACCAATCTGTCGGAAGAGGAGATGGTTCGTGTTCTTCAACGCGTCGGCCTGTGGCAGGTGCTACTCGCACGGAAAGACAGAGGAACCTGCAGTGAGGTCTCCTCAGTATTGCTTGACGACGATACACGGAAACAATCTCCTTTGGCTCCGAGTGTCGAAGCCGACGGTGTGGAACAACTGCCCTATGACGAATCCGTCAGCGTATCGGCGGCAGCGATTCTCGACTTGACCATGGATTCGGTCCCGCTATCTCAGGGCCAGGAACAGCTCTTCTCGCTCTCACGGGCACTCTTGATGCGCCGTACACGTGGACGAGTCGTGCTGCTCGATGAGGCGACGAGTAGTGTCGACGCCGAGACGGACGGGCTTATGCAGAATATTCTACGTGAGGAATTCGGTGAGTATACCGTAATCACTGTTGCACATCGGTTAGATACCATCATGGACAGCGACGTGGTCCTGGCCATGCATGGGGGGAAGCTGGTAGAAGCCGGGCGGCCGTCTGAGCTGGTGGAGAGGGAGGGAGGAATACTCAGGGCATTGCTTTTCGGGAAGAAACTGAAAATGTAGACGACCATTGCGTTCTAGTTAGGCTAAAATAAGGAAGATCAGGAAGGGTAAGCTAGCAATAGGATGAACCATTTCATCCATTATTATTTTTGAATCTATTATTTACTACGTCGTTATACAAGGCGATAGTCAAGTATAACAAAGGGCCGCCAATGTCTTGACATAAATGGGGACTACATGGCAGCAAAGCGAATCAATTTCTACACAGATTACGGTTTTCCAGACGACCTACTATATTTCGTCAATAGATTGGTAGCTTCTGTGGTATTTTCTCAGCGCTTGTCAAAGGTTTTCGAACATTGCGATGGTATTGATGGCACTAAGCATTTTCAGAAACATGAGATGAACGCCACGAGTAAAACTGGTCTGATTGCCACTCGGAGAATGACTATGTACTGAGCTTAGAAGGCATTAAAACCTCTAGAAAATATCTAGCGGTGCAGAAGATGGAGAAAGTTCTGATGCATTTGATCCAAGCACTGTATGCGTCCAGTACAATGTGATTGTGATGAGAAACGAGTTCCCAGGCTGTCTCAGGCGGCATTCTTTTCTGGCTTGAAAGCCACGCCGGGCCGCAAGGCCGGCAGGGCTCATGTACCAGGGGAAATATGCATGAGCTGACTATCCGAAGACAGTGACTGAAGAAGAGGGAAAAAAAGCATTATACGACCCGGCTGTCCGCTCAGAGACAACTCCAAGCCCCAGGACTTGAGGAAGAGATTGGCCTTGCCTTGCGCATCTAACTCGGACAGGACGAAGAGTGAAGCCAGCATACTTTTCGCCGCCGCGGCCATTTTGCAAGTGGTCTTTACCAGCATTCTATTATCCGCAGGATCGGCTCCTGCTATTCGAAAGTAACCAGAAGAGTTCCCACGCAGAATCGGAATTTTCGCCCGAAACTTTAAAGCTTGGCCGACCCCCAACCGACCCCAATCCGTCAAGCCTCCTCACGGTGGTTGGCTCTGTTCCGGTTGCATCCAAGCTCCTGTCTTGCTGAATGATGAAAATGCATATCTCGTTTGATCTGGGATCGGCAGATTGCTCACGAAATAAGTAGCTGGGAGGTTGCTCTCCCGTCTGCGCGAGATTCCCAAAAAAAAAAAAAAGAAGAAAAAAAAGTAAAAAACTAGAAACCGGCCACTGTTTCTATCAGCCAGCAAAGGCATAGCCAAACCTCTCACCATGCACGTCAGCAATGCCCTCCTAGCAGCATCTGTGGCCATTGGCCACGTCTCTGCCGTGCCCGTCTCGCCGTGGGTTGTCCAGCCCATCACAAAGGTTCAGCTCGGCCCACGGCCGTACTATCTAGTTGACAGCCTCGACCCCGGCCCTCTCAAGGACAAGCTGGCGTCGTGTACCGAGATGGAGATCAAGTCCAGCAGCTGGTCCCTCGCGCACCGCGGCGGCGGTACACTACTGATCCCCGAGGAGTCACGCGAGTCCATTATGGCGGGCGCGCGTATGGGCGCCGGCATCCTGGAGTGTGACGTGAGCTTTACCAAGGACCGCGTTCTGGTTTGCCGACACAGCCAGTGCGACCTACACACCACCACGAACATTGTCGCCATCCCCGAGCTCAACGCCAAGTGTAAGACGCCGTTCCGGCCTGCGGCTGATAACGGTACTCAGCCTGCCGCGGCCGAGTGCTGCACTAGCGACCTTACCATCGCCGAGTTTAAATCGCTATGCGCCAAGATGGACGGCTTTAACGCCTCAGCCACCACACCTGAGGATTACCAACATGGCACTCTATCCTGGCGCTCTGACCTATATGGCAGCTGTGCCCAGGTCATGACGCTACAGGAGTACATCACACTCGTTAGCTCCCTCGGCCTCAAGTTCACCACCGAGATTAAGACCCCTATGATCCCTATGCCCTTCCAGGGCAACTATACGCAGGAGATGTTCGCCCAGCAAATGATCGACACCCTCAAGGCCAACGGCATTGCGCCCGCCGACGTCTTCATACAGAGCTTCCTCTACTCTGACATCCAGTACCTGCTCAAGCACGAACCCGCGTTCGGCCAGCAAGCCATCTTTCTGGACCCGACTGGCGGGCCCGGAACCGTCGATGCGTCCATTGACAGCCTTGCCACATACGCCCAGGAAGGCCTCAGGATCATCGCGCCGCCAATCGGCTTTCTCGTCAAGGCTGACGGCGACAAGATTGTCCCCAGCAGGTACGCGCTCAAGGCCAAGGAGCTCGGCCTCCAGATCATCACCTGGTCGCTAGAGCGCTCGCCGCCCGTGGCCCAGATCAAGGCCGAGGGCGACTACTACTACGATAGCATCAAGGGCCTCCTTAGAACGGATGGCGACATCTACACTGTCCTCGACGTTCTCTGGCAGCAGGTTGGCGTTTTTGGCGTCTTTTCTGACTGGAGTGCGACTGCCACCTTTTACGCTACTTGCTTCGGAATTGGAATCTAGTCACTACTTAGTATAGCGAAGCTAGATTAAGAGTTTATGGGATTCTATATGAGCTCTGTGCTTATTTGAGGAGAATGGCTCGGTAATGGTGGCGGCGGCAAAGGTTTTAATACAGATGCCTAAATCTGCTCTTACGATATCTGCTTAATTGTATAATTATTCCTCCTGTAAACCTTGGGTATTATTCGCAGTCGATATCATTGGCATTGGCATTTTGGAGTGGCCTGACCCGAAGAGAAACGAGCTTCGTCAAAGCTTTAATTCTTCATACTTTAGCACACTCCTCAGCTTCTTTTTGATAACATATTGGCCTAGCTTACTTGACCTAGCTAATACGATACCGCTGTTATAATAAATGCTGTAAAACGTTTACTAATATATTTCGAAGAAAAGAGGGACGCGCAAAAGGTAAACGCTTTGAAGACTTGGATGATGGGGGCACACTGGTGAGAAATTGCGACCCTAGCTGGATTCGAACCAGCCACCTTACGATGTGGACTCGACGAAGGCTGCCTGCAACGGTTAACCACTCCGCCACCAGGGCCAAGACTTGAGTGTAGGACGCAACCAAAGCGGAGAGTCAGTCCGGTAATGGATAGCAAAAGTCGGCCTGCTTAGCATATCTCGATTAAACTCCGACGGGTGCCAAAAGTCAATATCGCCTTCTGTTCTTGTAGACTCAGTCGACTTCTTACACATCTACACATTCACGCTGATTCAAAATCTTCCCAGTTTTTGTCGAATAAAAAGCCATCAAAAGCAGATCGCTACAGGCACGAACATGGTCGCACTCTCCCAAATCGCTACCGGCCTCGTGGCAGCCGAGCACGTCTACATTCTCGTGCTGGAAATGTTTCTCTGGACGACGCCTCGTGGTCTCAGGACGTTCAAGCTCGACAGAGAGTTTGCGGAAAAGAGCAAGGCGCTCGCCGCCAATCAAGGGCTCTACAACGGTTTCCTGGCGGCCGGCTTGACCTGGAGCCTGCTACACCCATCGCCGGGTTTTGCGCATCAGCTGCAGCTGTTTTTCTTGTCCACTGTCGTGATCGCTGGTGCGTACGGCGGCGCGACGGCGACGAGGAAGATCTGGACGGTACAAATGTTGCCAGGCATAGTGTCTTTCGCGCTGACGTACTTTGGGCTATGAGAGATGGTCGGGCAGGGTTTTGTTATCTCTATGGTCGAGGAAGGCGTTCTTGTTGGGACAAACCCTCTTTGACTTGTGTTGGCTCATGCGAATGTCTCAGCTTTCGAATAAGCATTGCGCTTTCGGACGACAGTGACGATGGGGCTTGTTTTGGCAGAGATATGGTGAATGTGATACGGGACGGGCGAATTCATCCCTAATTTATCAGAGATGCTACTCAAGATTCTGACAGATTTATGCAGTCTTACCACATCACGTTAATCTGATGCCCCTTTGAGATATGCAGGGGTTGTGACATCACCAGCCCCGATGTAGGAGCACGAGTTCGGAGTTGCAAGTGCGGATTTTCGACACTCATAATCACGGAATGGAAATGCGCATTTCACCACGTTGGCAGATCATTATTCTGATGAACAGATTTGACATTTCCCGGCTAATAAATGTTGACCAAGGTTTTAACACCTGCTTGTTAGCCGCCCGCCTTGTTCCGTTGGCAGTTCCACCCTCACTACCTTACCACGCTTACCTACCTATCCACAGTCGATAAGCTCTCGACTCTGGTCACCTTTCCCACTTCCCTCCCACACTTTCCTCCAGCAACCCATCACCGACTCTTCCGCCGCCTACCCACACCCGTAATTGAGTCCAGCGATTTCTCGATTGTATCAGCCCTTGCCCATTCTTGCCTGCAGGGCCGCCATCAATGGCCTGTTACTGCCGCTAGGCCCTTACGATTACCGAAGCCGCCACCGGCTAAAAAAAAGCTGCCACAGAGAGGCGTTTGCTCCCCCGCAGCAGCCGAAGCTCGGACAACAACTTGTCGTACCATTTCACATGCGAGCATACCCGTTACCGCCAGGCACTATTTTCGGTTGCATTCATCTCGACGCAGGATTCGACAACATTTCTTTTTAATTCGACGCCCCGCCACTCTTCGCCGACGCACCGTCCCGCGAGGCTCCTTCGACGTCCTCCTAGCCCGCGTCGAAGCCCTCGGAGACGGTGTGCTATAGCCCTCGATCGATTCATCACCCAGGACGGCCTGCGCAAGGTGCGTCGACTGCCAAAGTACTAGCCGCCTGTTCGCGTCGCTACTTTTGCCCCTCTTGGCATGTCTCACGAACAGCAGCCGCGACCCCGGCCCCTCCCGACCGCAGAGCATGCGGCATCCCCATACACCTCCGCACAGCCCATCATGAGCCGACAACAGGCCGAGGGGCTCTCCCCACTACAAAGGTGGGCGGCTAGAGCTTCGGAGTCGCAGTTTAACGCTATCGCAGGCGCGCTCGGCGGTTTTACTTCGGGCGTGGTTACTTGCCCGCTCGACGTTATCAAGACGAAGCTTCAGGCGCAGGCCGCCGTCAAGGCCGGACACTCGCGCATGTATAATGGCCTGGTTGGCACGGCAAGCGTGATTTGGCGGGAAGAGGGTCTTCGTGGAATGTATCGCGGGCTGGGTCCGATTGTCCTCGGCTATCTCCCGACCTGGGCAGTTTGGTTCACAGTATACAACAAGTCCAAGGTCTATTTAGCCGATTATCATCGTAAGCATTTTCACTGCTACCAGCTTGGTCTCCTACTAACAGCGAATCAGACAATGTTCATCTCATAAACTTCTGGTCCTCAATCATCGCAGGAGCCAGCAGCACCGTTGCTACCAATCCGATCTGGGTCATCAAGACGCGACTTATGTCGCAGAGCAACCCCAACGCCCCCCGCAACGACCACCCGAGGCCCGGCAACACGCCAACCGCGCGGCCAACGCTTCAAACCCCTTGGCACTACCGTTCAACGCTTGATGCCGCCCGTAAAATGTATAGCTCCGAAGGCTTGCTTTCCTTTTACTCGGGCTTGACGCCTGCCCTTCTCGGCCTGACCCATGTGGCAGTGCAATTCCCAACATACGAATTTCTCAAGACCAAGTTTACCGGCCAGGGTATGGGCGAGGCGGAGGCTCCTGGTGCGGAGGCACACTGGTCCGGCATATTGTCCGCATCCATCTTGTCCAAAATACTAGCCAGCAGCGCGACCTACCCGCACGAGGTAATCCGAACAAGACTGCAGACGCAACGACGGCCGGTAGCAGGCGAGCAGTACTTGCAAGGTCTAGGCGTTACTGCACCAGGCGCCTCAGGACAAGTCAACGCCAACTCGAACTATACGCCAAAATACAGGGGCATTATCATGACCTTCCGCACCATCCTACGGGAAGAAGGCTGGCGAGCATTTTATGCAGGTCTTGGAACGAACATGATGCGTGCGGTACCCGCGGCAACGGTAACGATGCTTACCTATGAGTTTGTCATGCGTGAACTGCGACACGCTCGCGCACAAGGTCGCGCGGGCTTGGGGCTCTCACCCGAACACTTCTAAGATGGCGAATCCCGTGCTGGTTCTGGAGCAATGACCACAATAGGCTGAGCACATCTACGCAAGGAGACATTGACCTTGACGTGGCTATGCCGATTCTTATACCCTCTACAAGCGAAAAGCTCAGCTGGCAGCAGAGTACTGTAAAGTATGGAACCCTTTTTGTTAGTTTGGGGATGTTCTGGCGGGTTCATGTGATCAGGGAGACCCCCGGGCAAGGTATCTTGGCATTTACGTAACTGATTTTACTAGGCATGGGGTTTCTCTTTCTAACTGGCTGTACTTGTTCCCTCGATTTTTTTGTTATCGGCGATTGTGATATAGTATGGAGGCAGGATAAGGGCGTAGAAGAGGAGAACATGTGTATATAAGCTGCGGAATGGCAATAAGAATATTTACCTTGAGCCTCCTGCCTGCTTGTCTGCCTGCCTGTCTGCTTGTTTAGCAAGGCGCATATTCAGGTAGCATGATATGATTCATAGGAAGCCAATCGAATATCCATCCAGGATTTTCACGGGAGGCCGTCTACAACGCTGGCTCATGATGGCGTCACCAGGCTGTACTAGAATCCAGAAATGAGGTAATAAGAAGCGAAGTATTTGCTATACACCACCGACAATTTTCGCCTGTTAATACTGGTTTTAACTATCAATACTTCATCTATGCAGAGCAGACTTTAAAGTGCTCTGCCTATCACATTACCCAGTGGCGGCAGCCCTACAGGCAATAGCCTGAACGCACCGGCCGGCGCTGAGCCGCAACAAGGCGTGAAGGCGTGAGCAGGTTTTTTTTTTTTTTTTCTCACCAATATCACCGAAAAAAAGTCTCCATCGAGGGGGGCTATAATAGAGGAAGGCTTCTTCACGGCGGTTATTGCTTGATATGAAACGAATGATGGGACGCTGACGCTTTTTGCCAGTAGCGCTTGCTCGACCGGTTCGTCACTGAGACATGTATAAAGACGTCCCCCCCTGCCAGGCAAACAGGCTGGGGGAATTAGCTCTTGGCTTCCCCTTTTTCTTTTTCCCTCTTGTCCATTGACAGAACAACTTTTTTTTCTTTCTTTTCAAAACAAACATCATTACACTGATAATAATGAAGTTCGTTGCTGTCATCTTTGCCGTGGTCACGGTGGCCAGCTCCATGCCCATGGAGCAGCAAAAGTGTGGCGGTTTTTGCACTGCCGAATACGACCCCATCAAGTGCACCAACGGGATCGTTTATGGCAACGCTTGCGAACTTGCGGTACGTTTTCGAGTCTTTTTTTTTTTTTCTTTGAATAAGAAAACTACTTGGGGGGGGGGGCGAGGGGGGGCTTTGCAAAAGAAAGAAGAAAGCTGAAGCTAACATATTTCTCATGACTTTGTAGAAAGCCAAGGTAGGATACTGGACACACAACGCCCGGATCAGAACTGATAACGCAGCGCGGTCTGCTGACTTGTTTGTGTAGGATGTACGTATGCGCTGCGGTTCTTTCTTGGGGAGGGGAAATATGGTACTCACACGATACACAGTGTAACCCTCGGGCTTTTGACGGTGTCACTTGCAGCAGTGGCGCCCAGGAGTAGCCAAGTATGCTTTGCTCTGTTCTCCTACTATCACAGTGAGTCCTCTTCTGGTTTTCTAGTTAGTCCCTCTTTCTAAAGCTCGATCTCTTTTTCAGGAAATTTGGCTCAAGCTCCTTTCTCTTTCGATTGACCACTCTGGTTGATTGATGTCTTGATGTAAGCGCTTCGCGGGCGAGTATGAGCCAAAGGGCACTGACAGAACTTACTGCACTTGCTTTCAGAGGCCAAATATGATGAGCAAAACAGGCACAAGGGCAGATTGTCTAGTTGAAAAGACGTAGTGATGGAGTAGCATATTCGTCAGGAAAACGATGCGTTTGGCATATGGAGCGGGGACAAGGATTAATATGAATAATGCATGCTGCTCCCAAAAAAAAAAGAAAAAACAATTGGCTATTCCTCTCGTGATAATACAAGTCGGTGAAGAGAATGCTAGACATGCTCGGTTACCACCCCCGGACTAACCAAGCGCTACTTCATAAAAGGTTCCTACAAAATCTCAGTGTTCCTCCTTGTCCATCAAATCATATCTTTCACATCGCGTCCCATGTACAACCCCCCAGTCCCCAGATGATCTGATGGCCCCCCCAAATAACTCCCCATATGAGTGCCGAAGAAAAAAACAGCTTTTTTATTTGTCAAGCTCTTCGACGAGCGCCTTGACGCGATCCACGGTGCCCTGGGGGCTGCCAGCCTCGGCAACAAGCACTTTGCCTGCCTTGTCAATGACAAACACGCCGCGCTGCGTTCCCTTTGGGCTCTTCTTGAGGCCAATAGCGCCAATCAGAGTAGAGTCTGCGTCGCACAGAAGCGGATACTGCAGCTTCTGCTTAGTGTGAAAGGCGGTGTTGGCCTTGGGCGAGTCGGCGCTCAGGCCGTAGATGGCGAGCCCTCCAGCGGTGAGGGGCGCGTAGTCATCGCGGAAGAAGCAGACTTGCTTTGTGCCTTATTTGAAGCTACGGTGTCAGTTCTTTTTACTACAACTGTTTTGAGGGAAAAGGAAACAAAAAAAAAACATGCGGGCGATGGCTGCGTGGGCGTTGGGCACGCACGCACGCACAGCACGCACGCACAGCACGCACGCGAACGCGCGCGTCGCGTTCGGCCGGGGGGGAAAAGGCGGGAAGGCGGGAAAAAAACACTCACATCCCGGCGTAGAAGCCTTGGGGTAGGTGAAGAGGACCACGCCCGACTCGCTCTCGTCGACGAGCTTCTTGAGCGTCGTCTTTTTGCCGTCATTGGTCTCGATCTCGCCGCCAAAGCCGTCGAGGTCGACTACATCGCCGACAGCAACCTGCTTAGAGCCCTTGGTCGGCGCTGGTGCAGCAGCAGCTGCTGCTGCAGTCGCAGTCGCAGTCGCAGTCGAAGCGACATCCTTCTTGGGCGCGTCTTCCTTCTTAGGCGCGTCTTCCTTCTTGGGCGTGTCTTCCTTCTTGGGCGCAGCCTCCTTCTTGGATGCGGCCGTCTTCTTGGGCGCAGCAGCAGCAGCACCAGCAGCAGCCTTCTTGGGAGCAGCGGTGGCCTTTTTCGGCGCAGGAGGAGCAGGCACAGGCTCAGGCGCCTTGCGCTTGCGAAGCGTGGGAGGCATTTGCGACACGAATTGTGTGTGTGTGTGTTTTTTTGCGCGAGATAATTTAATGGGTTGAAGCGCTTCGCTAGTGACGCGCAAAACGCGATGGATGAAAGGATACGACAATAAAGAGCAGAGACGAGAGCTTGCGGTGGCCAGAAGAGGGGAGCAAAAAAAAGGTTGAGAAATGAGAGAGGGAGAGAGAGAGAGAAATGAAATGAGAAAGAGGACGGAGGAGCAGAGCTTGAGCTTGGGTGGCAGAGCTGTACTGGTTGGTGCTGCTGGTGCTGGAGCTTGGTGTGGGATGTGCGACAGATTGCGCCAGCAAACTTGGGGCCCAGCCAGATTGAGCTGTATGCGGTTCCCTCTAGGTGCTATGTGACTGTGATTGGCTTCAATTTTTGCCACTAGCCCTGATTTTATTTCTTGTCATCTTCTCTGGCTGCTGCGCAAAAGAAGGCAGCAAAAAGCTGTGAGTAAGTATGCAAGTATGGAGCTTGCGCAACCTTTATGGAACAATATCAAGCCTGCCTGCCTGCGGCTGCCATGTTTGCGCGACACCAGCGCAAGAGGAGATTAAATAAAGCATGATTGGGTTCAAGAGTAACCCCAATTTTTATTCTAGCCGCCATGTTTTCAAGACTATGCAGAATGACCCCAGATATAGCAGTTATGCAAACACTTGACATTCATGATCCCACACAGTACGGAGTACAGCCCCATCTATCCACGGGCCGCAGATCCAAGTCGAAACCTTTGCCGTTGCCGCGGCGCTATTTACCACTTGCACAACCTTTTTTTTTCGAACTGCTGCTTGCCCTGCCAAATCTGCTCACCCCGGCTACCGTTACATCCCCGCCAGTCCAGCCAGTCCAGCCGTGTTCTTTTACAAGGTTCTGCAGGCTGCAGATCAGCTTTTGGTCAATCAGCTGGTTCGAGTCAGGTGCCGGCGCGCGCAGCAAGCCGCTCCAGGGGGGCTGGGTTGATTTCTCTTGCAACGCGCCCATTGGGCACATCCCAAGTTTTACGCGCAGCCTCGTCGTTGTTTCTTTTTTTTTTTTCTCTGCTTTCAAAAATAGGTTTTTGCGCATTCATGGACCCAAGAGTAAGCAGCCTGTCGCATTGATATATCAATCAGAAACCTGACCGTGGTAGAAATTCATGGCCCCAGCGGCCGCGTTCGCCATGGCCACTGTGCTGTTTGTGTATGTAGTAAATGCCAGACAATCGGGGCTTGTCTCCGAAGAAGGAGAAAATATTGACAGCGCTGCAGCTATACGCGATTATCTATCCGCTCAGCTCGGAATCAGACTGTGCGCAATGCTGTGACTAAAGAACTGTAGACGCCGCTAACGGGGCTGCAGAGACGAGCATAATCAAGAGAGACAACAATGACAAGTACACCAACAACAATACGTCATGGTCGTCGCCGAGCTTGTCACATTCGGCGCCGAACCAATCATTCATCTTCAGCATACTACAAACACCAGTTCATCAGATTTTGATGGTACTTCAAATGGGCGACTTGGGCTCACCCATGTCCAGGATGAGTGGCAAACACACAATCGTCCACCCTGTATAGTCTAGCCGCGCCAATTCATAATCCAATGCAAAAACAGCCGAAAACGGATACCGGCGCTTTGCCGCGAACTCATGGCTTCGCACCTACTCCCGTTGCTATAGGCAGATCAAATTGGCCAGGTACTTGCGCTGCGCCAGCGCATCAAGCACCAAACCTGCCTGCTCTTTAGTTAGTCGCATGCCGCATGTTAGGCCCAGTCGCACCGTCAGCTGCACCAGCCTGGTGCAATTCTGCAGTACGGCACATAGCTGAAGCCACGTGTACATGTCCCACGGCATGTCCTCTGTGTGGTAAGTCAAGTAGATCCATCCATGTCAGATTGGTGCGGCCGACGCGCGCGAGACGCTCTGACAGCACCGACTGCGCAAACACAGAAACGAGTACGTGTAGCTAATGTCGAGTGCGTTTCTGCACAATAGGTCGACGTACAGCAGTCTGCACGTCTGCAGAAGAGGGATCAGATGCGCCAGCTTAGCTCGGTCAGGAAGTGATATTTCCCGTGCAGGCATGTCGCCGGTGCACATCATACGTAGACGGGCGGTGGCATCCAGCATCTTCGCTGATGCACCTCAAGGTCGGTTTAGATATCCTTCGTCCCAACGCAGGCGACGGCGCGCCTCATGGGTGCAGACTAAGAACTCAATGCGTTCGTTTACGAATATGGATATGTCCAAAGCATTCATATATTATCAGCCACAGTGGACAATCAGTAGCCGCGCGGACCAAGGAGCAGGTAGCTGTCTTGACAATAAAAAAACCAGATGATCTCAGGCATTGCAATTCTCGGCTTCAGAATATCCGTTTTCCACCAGTCCTCAGCATATGCGCACTTCTTTGTTTAAGCCTCTTCCACATTGGGAGGCCATTGATGGACGTGTGCTTTCAGGCGCACAAAACTTGGCACTGACAGACTGTTTCCACGTCTCGCTCTCTCAATCGATTCTTGCACCAAATTGAGGAATAATCATTTTTTTTGCACTGAAATCGTCGCTTGACTTCTCCCGACAAGATGTCCAAATTTGGACGAATTGCTGCCGGGTACCTAGCCGATTCGGTAAATGAGCGGCTAAATTCCAGCCAATCCAGTCATTCGCAATAGCAACTCCAGGCCTCACCACAAGAGCTCAACTCGACACTCTTCCCTCCAGCAACAAACCATACACAGCAACATGTCGGCCAATGCGGTAGCCAAAGCCGCCGGTGGCGTCGTTTCCATCGCCAAGGTAAGCACCATCTCACCAGGCGTCAGGTCAATTGATCCGCCAGCGATTGCGATTCTCCACAAACAAAAATACCCTCGCGTCACGCCCAATCGAAAACCAAGCGACTACACACTGTCCGAATACTAATCACCCTGGCTACGAATAGAAGCAAACCCTTCAATCGACGGGCATTTGGGAGTCGTTCCGCAAGGCCGTCGCCATTGACCCGAACCGCTCCAACGGCGTGCCGCTGAACCCGTACTACCGCCTGCCCGCGCCAGGCTCCAACGACCCAGCGTCCTTTGAGGACCCTGTTACGCTACCCGCGGGTGATATCGCCGGAAATCCCTACTGGAAGCGCGACACCCGACGCAACTACCCACAGCTCAGCACCGTCAGCCAAGCTGACGTCGTGGGCCTGCTCGCTGTCGGCAGCGCCGCCAGTCCCAAGGTTGAGCTCATTGGCGAGGCTGGCGAGAAGGCTTTGGTGGCTGCCAAGCAGGAGGGCCAGACTGCCGGACTTGCCAAGGCTCTGGCAAAAGCTACACCCAAGGATGTCGCCAAGGATCTGTTTGTCAATGGCCTACCGCCGCTGCCGAGCGGACAGTCACTATCCTCGGGAGAGTGGAACGTGCACAAGTACAAGCTGACCGAACGGTCGTATCCTGATGGGTGAGTTGTCAAATCAGAAAGAAAAAGGCTCGAGGCCGAAGCTAATGCGTTGCAGATATCCTTGCAGGTCATTCCAATAGACGGGAGAAACATTGTATATAACTAAAGGGCATAGACGCCAAGCTTATTCTCTTTTATAATGCTACATCAATAAAGCCAACTTGATACACATATCCGAAAACACCGCCTTTCTTAGATGCGCAATCATTCATACCCTTGAAAGCCGAAGAACCCCATACGCCGCACACCTCATTAGTCGTCACTGTGCTTAACCAATCATCTTTTCGACAACTTTGGCTTTGCCCTGCGCACGCTTGAGCCGGTCGTCAAAGTCCTGCACGTCCTCATCTGCGTTGGCAGTAGATAGCGTCTCCGGCTCGAGCAGCGCGTATACCATTTTGATATTCTTGCCGAGTCTGGCGTTATCCGCCAGTGGCGGTAGGGAGCAGGCCTGCTGCGCCACGGGCTGCTGCGTATTCGTCGAGGCCGAAGCTCCCGCCGCCGCTGAGCTAGACGATGCGCTGCTCTGCGCCGGAGGGAGACGGTTGGCCCAGACAAGGGCGCGGCTGGCGAGGCGGCCGCTCTCGAGGAATTTGTCAAAGCCGGTGCTCATGCCAAACTGGCGGCCTTCGATGCGCCCGGCCGCTTCACCATCCTCGAGTCCTTGCTGGTAGCCCTGGCGGTAGAAGCGGTCTTCGAGTGTGAAGACGTCGTCGAATGGATCAGGCATCGTCTCGCATGGAGACCGAGAGGGGGGGGGGGGTGAGACGTTGAGTGAGGCGTAGTCGGGGTGAAGCTGCTGGAGAAATATTTTGTCACCCCCACCACCACCCACAAACTGGTTTGGCGGGGCAGACGCGATATCAGAAATCGGCCATCCGTAACTTTTGAACAGATGCTGCTAAAAAAGCGGCCTAAATTCTCGGTGTAGGCCAAGACAAGTAACAGGTTTCTTTTGGTCCTATGTGAAGAGGCCAAAAGCGATTTCGTATGCGAATGACAAAAGGATCTGTCTGCAACCTCTCTAACGAAGGGGCAACTCAACAACTTGCACTGCGCCAGACTCACCAAATTTATCATCATCTAACAAAGTCACTACCCATACGGGGCGAAACCCTTCAAGCCTCGAAAGTGTGATTACTGTCATGCTCACATTCCTCCTCCCGACCCTTGTTATAGTATTCCGCCGTCCTGCACACGATGTGACGGACGGGGCTCCACCTTTCGCATAGGTAGACGCCCGTAGTGGGGGAGCGACGCGCATCGGCGAGCTTTATTACTTTTTTGACCTTTACCTTAGTTACCCTTTGCATCCGACCACGTTTACTGTTTTCTACCCACCTTGACTTTCGAGTTGCGGCCTCGCGATCGAACCCGGGACACCTCCATTCGACACTGAGGCGCGTACACTCGCCTCCCCTAAATAAGCCGAAGCTCCACGACTCCAATTCACGTTTGGAGCCGGCTTGTCTCGCGAGACAGATTTGCCCGCCCTCGCTGTCCCATTGTCCCGCAGATCACCCCCAAACCTCCCGTCCGCCCGCTCGCCCGCTCGCCCGCTCGCCCGTCTGCCCAACATGGATATTCGACTTTTGCGCAACTCGGACCTGCCGCTGATTCAGCACGCCAACCTCGAGAACCTCCCCGAAAACTATTTCCTCAAGTACTACCTCTACCATGCCCTGTCATGGCCGCAGCTCAGCTTCGTCGCCGTCGACGTCTCTCGCCCGAGCAAAGGTCCCTACGACTACCCCAAGATTGTCGGCTACGTCATTGCCAAGATGGAGGAGGAACCGTCCGACGGTATTCCCCACGGTCACATTACCAGCCTGAGCGTCATGCGCACGCATCGCCGGCTGGGCATTGCCGAGAAGCTGATGCGACAAAGTCGTAAGTTTTTTTCTTTTTTTTTCTTTTTTTTTTGGAGGCAGAGATTCGGAAAAAAACCATCGGAGACGTTGTTGTGTGTATCGGTGGGTTGGACAATAGCTAATCATCTGGGGCGTCTTTAACTCAGAACTCGCCATGGTGGAAACATATCAGGCCAAGTATGTCTCGCTCCACGTCCGCGTGTCCAATGTCGCCGCCCGCCACCTCTACGAGACGACGCTCGGTTTCAAGACGGAGAAGCCCGAGGCCAAATACTATGCCGACGGCGAAGACGCGCTCTGTATGCGCCTCGATTTCGACCACATCAAGAAGCAGATTGACGCCGAGGAGGAGGAGAGGGAACTGGCGGCAGAGGCGCAGACGAATGGCAGCAAGACCAACGGCGGGGAACACTTGGATGAGGGTGAGGCTGTCGGCGAGGTCGGCCGAGACCCAGAGGCTGGCAAGAAGAAGAAGCTGCCAGTGGGACGAAGCAAGGAAGAGAGCAAGTAAAGTGCTGTCTGTTTCTGTTTCTTTTTTTTTTCTTTCAGAATTCTTAGAAGGGAGGGTTGGACAATCAGTGGGTGAGTTGCATATACATCTTGCGATTTCAGGTCTTAGATAAAATGAAAAAGTTTGACGGCTAGCTATATAGGCGTGGGTTGCGATGATTCCATGGTTTTTTTTTTAAATCCATCAATCTGGTATACTATATTACGTGCCTTTTCTGCAGACTAGAGTTGAATATGCATGTACCAACGTGCCTAATCTGGGCTGCAACGCTCCAATGCTGAAATATAAGAGTCCCCCTACAACTGGGCCAATTGTGCCTTTGTGGACCGATAGACAAATTCGTCGCCACGGCTAGTTTGGTATTAATTTTGCGTGATCAGCCAAAAAGTATCCCGTCTTGCCCTTGTACGTCCCATGCCACCACTCGTCAGAAGGAAACGTCACATCTGTGATTTTGGCGCCCGCTTTATAGCTCAAGTCTTAAAGGAAGAATTAGACCCTACTACATTCAGAGCTGATGAGAGGGGGGGGGGGGAGCGCGCACGGCAAACTTACAATCATTGGCAGAATTCCAGCTCGTAGCCGTCGTAATGACGGATCTCTCTTGAGCAATATGCGAGCCCGCGATATGGCGAGCATACTCTGCATCGGCATCCATTCGCAGCGACCCTAGAGACTGCGTCATGGCCGCAATCGCACTGCGAATCGCGTCTTTTCCAGGCCCGTCCTCCATCTTGTCGGCCTTGTCCTGCTGCTCACGGATAGCGTCTTCGATGCTCCGGGCTGCCGTGTACTTGGCTGCGACGGCAGGGTTGGGCGCCGGCGCCGGCGCCGCCCCATCTTTGTTGTCTCCATCACCACCATCAGGCCCCCCGCCGCGACGACCAGGTGGTCCGCGACGTCCGGCCCAAGAAACATGTGTTGGAGGAGGCTCGCGTGGGGGCCAAGCGCCGGAAGAGCCACCCCGTCCGAGTCCGCCACGTGCATGATGAGGCCAGCCGCCTCTGCTGCCAAAGGGGCCAGTCTGATGATGATGATGATGGTAAGGGCGGTGGCCATGGAAGGGCATAGATGGTGGGTCATGCATCTCCTGAGGCATGGCCGGCATTGCTGATGCATACGGCATCGGCGGCATCAATGGCATGGGAGGCATTGAAGGCATGGATGGACCATGTGGCATAGGCGGCATACAAGGCCTGGTGGGCATGTGGCCACCATGCCTTCGCACGTCTCTCGCCGCCCGTCGTAGATCCCTTTGTGTTCTCTTCACGTCTCTCTTCCGCTGCCTGCGCTCACGCTTTTCTTGACGTCGCTGCTTCTTCCGCGCCATGCGAGTATCTCGCTGCGTCTTGCGCTGCTCACGCTGAATCTGCTTCCACTGCTTCAAAAGCACCTTGATTTGTGCCTTGAGCTCCTTTTCATCGGCATGCGGATCTGCAACGTGGAACCTGGCGAGTTTGAGCTCACTCTTGAGCCATAAAACATCGATATTGGTGCGCAGGTGATTGGGATTGGATGTCCAATCCCGCAGAATGTTGATATAGGCAGGTAGTTGCGCCTCGCGGACGTCATCGTGGTCAGGTAGTGAATCAAGCGAGGATACGCTGGAAGCTGATGACGCAGACGAAACCGAGGAAGCCGAGGAGACGGACGTATCCCGCGCCGCGTCCTTGCCTTTGCCGTTGGTGTTTCCGGTGACTCGAGCTCTCCCGCGCTCAGGTTCAGGTCCCGAAAAACCTGGCATCCTACGCGTTGACGCTCCCACCCCTGCATCTTGTGACGTCCGCGGCGCATCGTCTTCGTGGCTCGCCGTGCGGATCCCGTGGGCATCCATAATAAGAGAACCGAGACGAATACCGCGGGAGTCCATGACAAAACTTTTGCCGCATGTGATGCCGCCGGCGTCCATCCTGAAGGACGCCGGGTTCGGCCACCAGCTACCACCACCAGGCGCTGCCTCATCTTGCCAGTCCCTTGCGTTTGCGTTGTGATCAGCTTCGTAGTCGTCCCCGCTAGGGGCAATGCTAATGGTTATACCTCGAGGCTTAAAAAACCCCTGGTTCCATTCATGCACGGTCGCTAGCGCATTCGCCCGTCGCTGAACCTCATCCCGAAGACCCTCCGGGCCGGCAGTGCGCAGCTGGTGTCTTTGGAGCTGAGCCTGCGAGCGCCCGCTGCTCAGACTTTCGCCGGACTCGCTTTCTGCCTCGGCGCGCAACTTGCGCTCCAAGATGACATCGTTGCCCCGCGTGGTGTGATCTGGCAGCAAAAAGTTGATAAAGGTAGCCCAGTCCTGCGCGTTGATGTCGCGCTTCTCCCAGTCGCTCGGAAAGGGAAAGTCATCCGGAAGAGACTGCGTTTCGAGTTGGAGCGCATGTACAAGCGTCGACTGTGGAATGACGTCTGGCGAAGGCGGGGGTCTGGTCTCAAAGTACAGGTCGGCGCCGGGCTGCGGAACGCCGGTAATAACGTCGTCGCCAATGCTGTTTGTGCGGGGAGTCTCTGGGGGCGTATAGATGATTTCCTCATTCGACGACGACATGCGGGAAACGACATCGTCGGCGACTGTGGGCGGTGCCGAGGCGGCGGCGCCTGAACCAGAGTTGGAGTAGATGTCTGTCTCTGAGTATGGTGGCGGTGCGTCGCCGCCGTGGGGAGGTTCTGCCCCGGACATGTTGTTGCTATGGGAGAAATGCGTATCACAGAAATGATGGAAAGGAACAGAGTGATGGAAGGATGAGAGTTTCTTTGGTGGTTCACTGCCAACGTCACTCATCCAATAGTGCCTGTTCGTCAGCCTCGGCGGGCAGCTTCACTGAAGCTAACGCAACTAGGCAACTACCTAGGTGGTGCATTGCGTGTCTTCCTCAGCCCTGTGCGCGGGCTTGCGTCAGCCCTTTTGGTGATTGGACGAGCCGTACTGGGTGAGACGGCCAAGTATCAGATCCTACCTACCTAGGCTGGTACGACGCAGAATACAAGGCTCCTGGTGTACTTCATCGGGAGGGGCAAGAGGGGGTTCATTCTGCATGGTTACAATACTTGCGCACCACAGCCACCCCAGTACGCCGTGACAATTCAAGAAAACTGAAAGAGGAGTAAAAGCAGGAAAATCTGTGATTTGATACCATGCCAATGTGTATAATTTGATTTCTTTAGTAAACCTGATCGCTTGTTTCGCGAGTCGCTTTTACGATGTAAGCCCACATCACGTCGTTGCTGTACATGTGTATTGGGTGCTGGTGGCTAACCGATGAAAACAATCAAGCTGCGTGATACACGACTCAGCCATTCAACATCGCATGAAGCTCTGCACAGTGTCCGACTCACTGCATGCCTGCCCTTTTTTGTTGTGCGCTTGAGCTTTCAATTAGACCATGCGCTCACCAACGAGATCGAAATTGACATCTTGGTGCTTGTAATGATCAGCAATAATGCTGGACAAATAGTCGCGCGAATGTGTGCCCCTATCGAACCATTAGTACTGGCTGATCGCGACTTTCGGCGATGCACATACAGGTTTGTTATGTAGGTATCAATGAATGCAGAGGGCACCATTTCCGTGAGAGCAGAGCGAATCTCGACATGATTTACCATGGTGCCATTGGCAAAGTTGACAAAACTAGACGAGTCCCCCCACTCGATAAGAGTGTCTTCCGCAAAGGGATTGGCCGGACTTAGCTTGTATACGCCACTGAGGACAATGACAGCAGTGCCGTGCTCCTTAGCTGCACGTGCAATGGCAGCAGATCCGGCCGTCGCCATGACACTGCCATTGGCCACTATAGCCTTGGCACCGAGAATCACCTTGTCCACGCGGGGCATGTATGCCGTGAGGCCCGAGTTGTGAATGTTAATGACGGCGATCCCAGCTGCGATGAGCTTTCTGCGAAACGAAGCGTGTGGCTCTTCGCTGGTAGGCTTGCTCGGAGCCTCGATGGCTAGAAACAGAGTAAACTTTCTCTTTTGCGCGGCTCGCAGAATAAAGCGTTCGACCGTAGTGGACGGGCGGTAGGCCAGGACGAAATCGCCGGGACGAATCTGGACATCTGCGAGAGCGGCGATCTGATCATCCACCTGGCTAATCTCGTCCATAATCTCCTCAATGCCATCAATGACTTCAGATCGTAGGGTGTGGATCTGGCTGTAGGTGCCCTTCCATGTTGTCGGTGTCGAAGTGCCAGAGTTGTGGAAAGGCGAGCCGGGGTCGCTGGACGCGAGGTCGACATCTGGCGAGGCAGAGAGAAGATGGAAGAGAGTCTTTGGTAGACCAGCCGAGCTAAGCGTCGAGGTAAGCTGGGGTCGTGGCTTCGGGGAGGAAAAGCCATCTGTGCGGGCGGCGGGCGCTGACGCCTCGCTTTGAGTCTCGTCCTCTTGGTCATGGCGCTCTTCCGCAGCTTCGTCGCGGATGAGGCCGAGTACGCGCCGCACAATATTGCCTATCGCGAGTTCTGTGGGCTGCGCCTTGACGAGTCGTCGGCCGACTTGGGATACATTGTCGATCAGTGCGTCGACGTCCTGCCACTTGGAGCGCGCTACTACTTGTAGAAGTATGTGGGCAGTGGCAATAGCGCAAGGCTCAGAGCCCTTGATTTGGCGTCTCTTGAGAAGCCTATGGCCTTGTTAGCGGGGTTGAACTGCCCATCGTAGTTTTGCTGCCTTGACGCGGTTCTTGGTAGAAGATGTACGACATACGAGAGGAGGCTCTCGACAGAGGCGTCGAGGGGCTGACCCTTGAGAGACTTTATAAGCTTGTCCAGGTCAGGCGCATAGCCTGCTGACACCGACGGCATCGCGAGAGAGCTTCGACAGCGAGCGCAAGCTGTAGGTTGATCGCTTGTGATGGTGGGGTTGAATTGTTGCGGTTGTGACACGAGAAAAGAGGAACTATCGGCCCAGTCACGAGAGTATATTCGTAGCAGCAATATTTGTAATGGCGAGGTATAGTATTGCAGTGCAGCGACAGCCGTTCTGGGTATCGAGCGCGGTGTTGGGATACTCTCGTGATTTGGGTGATTTGTGGTGACTCGAATCACAAATTTGGCATTTGAGAACGGCGGGGCTCCGCTAGCAGGCTGAGAGGGCCTGCGCGGCGGGATACCTACCTCCTGGGGCTCTGGACAGCATGGGATTGTTCAGTACAAGCACGACAACGTTGACCTGGAAGTGATTTTTCAAGTATGGATGCACTCTGTATTTCGGTCAGTTATTAGCAACACTACTACAAACAGTCAATGCATTTTTAGCAGAGCGTAAGCAAAGCTATTCTGCTCCCCACGGCTTGAAGTACCTAACTAGGTACCTATCCGTAACCGGTAATTTCGTTAGATAGCGTCAAGATGACTGACGCCCCACTTAATAATGTAGACACGCTGGTCGGTTATGAAGCCGTTCCTCTGGTTAGACTATCGCATCCCCTCGCCTTATTCACCCACTCTCCCTGCAATCCAGCTAGATGCAGAGCATTCACTCCTTTATATGCGCGCCGAAGTTAACATCCGACACAAATTTACGCTACCGGTGTCTATTCAGCCGTCTATCCTAAATCGGGCGCGGTAGCAGTCATGTTAGCAAAGATCGCCGCGCTGGTGCTGCTACTGTCACTGTTGCAGCTTGCGCTTTGCGCAGAAGACTACTACAAGGTGCGCCGCCTGGCCGCACCAACTGAGGATTCGTATAGCTAACGTCCTTGAAGATCCTTGGCGTTGACAGGTCTGCCAACGACAAGCAATTGAAGACGGCGTACCGCCAACTGTCGAAAAAGTTTCACCCAGACAAAAACCCGTACGGCGATGCCCCTTGTTGACGATATCTAGAAGGCTATACTGACTAGTGTGAAGTGGCGATGATACTGCCAAGGAAAAGTTTGTTTCCGTGTCCGAAGCCTACGAAGTCTTGAGCGATCCGGAAACTCGTCAAATCTACGATCGACACGGACACGAGGGCGTACAGAATAAGCGCAACGGCGGCGGCGGCGGAGGGGACCCCTTTGACCTTTTCAGCCGTTTCTTTGGTGGCCATGGCCATTTTGGTTCTTCTGCCGGCGAGCCGCGAGGGCATAATGTCGAAGTCAAGGTAGAGATCTCGCTCCGCGATTTCTATAACGGCGCAACGAGCGAGTTTCAGTGGAATAAGCAACACATTTGCGAGACATGCGAGGGTACCGGAAGTAAAGATAAGCAGGTGGACCACTGCTCTGCCTGCAATGGCCACGGAGTGCGCATCGTCAAGAAGCAGCTTGCCCCCGGCATGTTTCAGCAAATGCAGATGCGTTGCGATGTGTGCGGCGGCCGTGGCAAGACGATCCGAAACGTCTGTCCTACATGCCACGGGATGCGTGTCGAAAAGAAACCCACGACAGTTACACTCAAGATAGAGCGTGGCGCAAAGCGCGATTCCCGCGTTACCTACGAAAACGAGGCTGATGAGAGTCCCGATTGGGTTGCTGGCGATTTGCTTGTCACATTGGCGGAGAAGAGTCCTTCGCCAGAGGATAACCCTGACCACGTCGATGGCATGTATTTCCGTCGCAAGGGTGATGATCTGTACTGGACAGAGGTCCTTAGCTTGCGGGAGGCTTGGATGGGTGACTGGACGCGAAACCTCACACACCTTGACCAGCATGTGGTACGACTAGGGCGCGAGAGAGGCCAAGTGGTTCAGAACGGACATGTCGAGACAGTGGCTGGTGAGGGTATGCCCAAGTGGCACGAAGATGGCGATTCCGTCTATCACAAGCACGAATTTGGCAATTTATACGTCACATACGAAGTCGTCTTACCCGACCAGATGGACAAGGCCATGGAGAAGGACTTTTGGGCGCTGTGGGAAACTTGGCGCAAGAAGCAAGGCGTCGACCTGCACAAGGATAGCGGGCGACCAGCGCATGACGAGCTGTAAGAAACAAAAGGAAAACGATAGATTTGTCAACAATTGCATATTCGCGGGCGGCGCAGGAAGTAGAATAGGAGTCACGGTGGCGTGTGAAATTGTGGACTTGCCATGAGCAGCTCCGGAAATAGACTTCAAAAAGTGTACATAGAAATTGGACAGTTTGTTGCGATTTTCATCCGATTGCTAAAGACTTCCCACATAGTCCGAAGACCTGTGGAGGGTCAGGCAGGGGTAGCAAGCCTCTTTGAAATGCCGATTGCCAAGCAAAAAACGGCCTTTATCGTATTGCCTTGGTCCGCGGAGTTGAAAAGTTTCCGTTGCTAGGTCCGCAAGGTGGGGTGTAAATTTAGCGGAGTGCGCCCAAATGCGGGCGGGATGACGATATCTGATATTCGTTGCTGACGCTTGAGCATAACTACAATCCCTGCTTGGATTGGGTGACAAGTAAACTACTTGAAATTTGTCCCATAATTCAATCAGGTCCTAACCAAGGAGAGGAGCGACTATCAATAGGCTACCATTGTACAGCACGAAAGAGAAGCTCCTTGGCTCTTACTAGGTACCTAGGTTCCAACAGGGTCGCCATAGCCAGGCTTCAATAAGTGGGCTGTGCCTCGGCAGAAAATGTTGGCTTGCAGGTGGCCAACCATAACGGAGAATATGGTCATGATCTACGATTAGAAATATTGACCATGATGCATCTGGATTATAAATCCGGCGTTACAACCTCTCCATCGGAATTTAGCGTTCAACTGCTCAACGTTCGTGCTTGCAGCTCTTGGCATGGTTGACGAAAATCTAAATAAATAGCTCTTTCCCATACTACATCATCAATACGATTTCTTGACATCATCATTCTTGTGCTATTTTCTAAGCTCTACATTACACGCTGCTCGTTCAACTTAAACCAATCCCATCAACACCGTCAATAAGCAGACATGGCGCCCAACAAGACTCTTATTTTCAAAAAAGTTCCCAAGGGCCTGCCGGTTCCCGGCCAGGACCTCGTCGTGGAAGATCGCGAAATTGACCTCGAGACCCCTCCCAAGGGTGGTCTAGTGTTGGAGGTGCTCGAAGCCTCGTACGACCCATATCTTCGCGGGCGCATGCGCGAGTCCAACACCAAGTCGTACTCGCCACCTTTTGAGCTCAACGGACCCGTCAGCAACGCGACTCTGTCCAGGGTGCTCAAGAGCGACAACCCCGACTACCAAGAAGGCGACATTGTGCGTGCGTCGACGCCCATTGCCGAATACGCGCGCTTGGATGACCCTGCCAAGTTCCAGGCGTACAAGATCAAGAACCCGCACAACGTCGACCTCTCCTACTTTCTTGGGCCGCTGGGCATGTCTGGCCTGACAGCGTGGTCTAGTCTGTACAATATCGGCAAGCCCAAGAAGGGCGAGACCATTTTCGTCAGCTCTGCCGCCGGCTCTGTGGGCCAGATTGTTGGTCAGATTGCCAAGCACGAAGGCCTGACTGTGATTGGCTCGGTTGGCTCAGATGATAAGGTTGACTTTATCACAAAGGAGCTGGGTTTCGATGCTGGCTTTAATTACAAAAAGGAGAAACCTGCCGATGCTCTACCCCGCCTCGCACCGGAGGGCATTGATATCTACTATGAGAATGTTGGTGGCGAGCATCTGGCGGCCGCGCTCGACAACATGAAAAATGGCGGCAGAATCCCCGTTTGCGGCATGGTACGTACCCGACAATGGCTTCCCATAATGAGTCTTTGGGTGAGCACAATGGGACATTAAGCTGACATGTTGGCATAGATTAGCGGTTACAATCAGGAAGCGAGCGAGCGTGCTAGCATCAACAACCTCTTTCAGCTGATTGCCAAGCAAATTCTCATGCAGGGCTTTCTTGTTTTCGCGCCTGGATTCGGCCCTGCCTATTTCCAAGAACACATGGACAAGCTTAGCTCTTGGCTTGCCGATGGCACTTTCAAGTCAAAGCTGCACTTCACAGAGGGCATTGACAAGGCTGCCGAAGGTTTTGTAGACATGCTCGAGGGAAGAAACTTTGGCAAGGCCATTCTCCGAATCAAATCCCAGAAATAAAATAAGAGTAACACGGAAACACCAGATGGACTTTGCATCAATACCGCTCCTAAAGCACAATATTAGTACAGAAAATGATGCAACAGAATTGCCGTCAAAGTGAAAGGAAGCTAGATGTGTGTAGTATAAATCCTGTGCCACATGCTGTGAACCGAGTTTTCTGTCTTCTTTCATCAACATACTTCCAAAACTTTTTAGTGCCGATAATACTACACAATGTATAATCGTATGCTAAAATGTGCGAGCCTGCAATTTATATTCTAATGTCTTGGCTGCAAAAAAAGATGGTGACTTCCTGGAAAATATACCTCTTATTAGGTAGGCCCAACACAGCCAATGAAACAAAGTACTGTTCCAAGCAAGGGCCCTGGCCAATGCCACTTGCGCCCCGCTTTATCCCTTTGGCTGTGGAAAAGGAGCAAGCTGGTATTTTGCAGGGGCTCTGTCCAATCACGTAGCGGCAAATTTCAAGGTACTTCTACTTAGTGCGCATTCCCAGCGATCGTGAAAGTCCTATAGAGTATGCCTGTACCGGGGAAGACTTTCTTACTAGGTATATAGCCTCAGTAGCTGGTCTAAATCTAGTTCCTCTCCGTCTCTCACCCTTGTGGATCCCGTGACCTGCTTGCTCCTTTTCCACAGCCCAAGGGATAAGTTATCGATCTTTTTTCCCCGGCGTAGATCCACATTTTTTCTCGTGTCAAACATCTTGGATCACCAATCTGGCAATGGGCTAGGTCAATTTGCATATCCAGTTGAGCTTTGACATCATCGCTGGCAGGAAAACAGTAAGCAGCAACAAGGCTTGTGTAGCTCTTGGATAAATTTTACATGAAAATTGATCAATTGTAGTCAAACTTCGATATAGCCCCCCGAATGCAAGATTCTGCACGGGCTTCCATAGCTGAAATGGACAACATCCGAGTCCTGCTCCATCCAAACATTGAAGCTATGATTTCTTGTATAATTTGAACCAGCACTTCATAATCGACTACGAAACCCGGGAAGCTCCCACCACCTGGGGGGATTCCACCACCTGGGGGATTTCCACCACCTGGGGGATTTCCACCACCTGGGGGATTTTCACATGGGGGATTTCCATCACCGGGGGGCCCGGGTGGCTTTCCATCACCGGGGGGCTTTCC